TCTCCTTCCTTACGGAGGTCTGTATCGCATGCAAGAGGTAGAAATATATATATTCGTTATTTAATATGTTAAAAGCAAATGGCTTTATTGAAGGAGGCCACGGGCATGCAATACTACTGCATGTAGTAGAGGGCTCGTACACCGCTCGTCATCAGGCAAATGAGCTTTGGGCAATTGCGAACCAAGGCAATGATGCAAGTATATCATGTTGCATATATAACCTCGATAATTTGCCGCAACTAATGTCTCTAGAATCCGAACGAGAATGGTGCCGAAGTCGTCGTCGCTTCGGTCGCAAGGGTCCATGCGCTCTTCTGGTGTTTGCGCGCTTCGATTGCATCAAACTCGGCAATCTGGTCGGCGTGCGTCTCTTCGAGCACGGTGCGGAACTTGCCGTACAGAAGCGGTCGGTCGGCTTCGTCGACACCCGACACTTGGTCGGGCTTGTTCTTGAGAAAGCCCAGTGTATCCTAGAAAACCCATTCGTCATTTGCATGGTACTCCCCAACATGTACAATTTACCAAGAGGCTGCTGTTGCACACAAAGTTCTGCGTGATCGCGAGGCACTCTTCCGTGTTGAGCACGAGGTGCCACCAGCCTTTGGGCACAAAAATGACTTCGCCTTCGCGGACAATGCCTTCAAGGTGCACCGGCGCCTTGGTTTTCGTCTGCTTGTAGAACGTGACGAACCACTCCATGAGCGAGACAGGCGTCGACACTTCGCCGCCGTCGGCGCTCGGGTGCACGCCAGGCGGCGTCACGTCGGGTGGGAACATGATCCACTTCTTCGCCCCGCGGATGATGGCGTTCCACGCGCACGTCGAATTCGGGTCGATGTGAAACGACGAGCCCGACCCTTTCGGGCCAAAGATGAGCCAGCGGTAGTCCGGCCGGTCGCTCCCGAGGAGCTTGAAGAGGTCGTCGTCAAAGTACTTAGGCACGCTGTAGTCGGCCGCGAGCGCCGGGACCGTCGACGCAAAGTGTTTGTCGAAGATGAAGAGCGGCTGGTCGTCGCGGAGCGTCCGCGCGTACGTGAGGTATTGCTCCATAGTCATGTTGAACCCACCGGCGTAAAACTTGGTGTTGCCGCACACCTCGTAGAGATACTCGTCGTTCCAGCGGTCCATCGCCGGCCAGGTCGAGACGACGTTGGTGAGAATCACGGGCAAGTTGGGCACCTCAAACTGCTCCTTGAACGCTTCGACCGAGAGGCTGTTGCCGTCGACGCGCGGGATCGTGTCAATCGCCAAGCTCGCCCGCGTGAGGAGCGTGTCGGGCGACTGCGCGCAGTAGAACGGCTGGAAGAGCAAGTCCGAGTAGAAGCCTTTGACGACGATCGGCGCGGCCGACGGTAGCGTCGCGTGTGGGCAGCGCGTCGCCACGTACGCTTGGCGCCACGTGGCTTGGGGCACAAAGTCGCCGCCAAAGTTTTCGAGGACAAACGTCCGCCAGTACTCGTCGTGGTAGGCAAAGATGTACCACGCACGGCTCGTCGCAGTGGTTTTCGCCAAGTCCATGGGCTCGAGCCACTCAAAGATCGAGTTGAGCACCGTGTCGGGCAGCGCCGCGAGGCGTCCGAGGCCACCGCTTCGACACTCCTTGATGCCCTTGTCCATGTCATTGAAGCAGTTGCCCCACGGCTTGACGCCCAGCGGGTGCGCGATGGACGCCGACGAAGTCGCCGTCGCAGGCTCGGAGATGCGCTGGCGCTTGTTGGGCGACATGGAGCTCAGTCGCGAAATGTGAGCCTCCGCCACCGATGCTGCGCTGCAAAAACCTGGCAGCCCGCTCTCGCCGGCGTTTGATTGGTCCAAGGATTGAGATTTCGACCAATGAAAAGCCGTTGATGACGCCATCTCCCGACGCGCGCCCTTTTCTGTGCAAGCAAGTCCTCAACACAGCAGCAATGGCCGAGACCACAAGCTCGAGTGAGGAATTATCGGCTGCAGGACACATATATGAAGGCCGAGTTGGCTTCGTACAGGTCTATGCAGTGGTACATGACGTTGGACAAGCAGTGTACTAGTGGACCTGTCGATCTGGCGACGTGACACGTCGTAACGGCTCCTTGACGCATGGCCGAAGAAGCCGCAGCGCTTGCTTTGGACCTCTCGGATACGCCGTTGTCTCTCAATCCAACAGCATCCTCTACGCCCAACCACGGCGAGACAGGCGACGGCGATTACCTCGAAGCGCATGTGCGAGACCCGAATGCGCCAGCTGCGATGGACTTGAGGTTTAGCTTTCACTTTGAAGAGAAAGCATCGGGCCTGTAGGTCAATCCACCTTTCGGCATCTCACATTGCTGGCTTCGTAGTGAGGCACCGATCGACGCCGAGAAGGTGTTGCAGCTGCAGTGGAGCTCGTCCGACGCGCTGCCGCAAGAGGACGCGGGCGCAGACGAGGGCCCGACAATCGAAAGTGTAAAGGTCGTCTTATAGTACTGGGTTAGACATTGTAGTTGTAGGCAGCAGTACTCAAGTACAAGCAAAGCCAGCCGATTGTATGCACCGCAAGTGAAGCGCCAGAGCCGACAGAGCACTTGCACGAATCAACGCTTCAAGTTGATCCATCACCGGAGTCTATAATGGTGGCAGAGCAGGCGCCTGCGTCAGAGTTCACTCCGATGCCAGTATTTACTCCAGCTCCAGAGTCCACGTCCACATCAGAGCTCTCGCTGATACCGAAACATACCCCGACGTCAGATCCCACAGCCGCATCGGAGTGCATGGAGCCGCCGAGTTTGGAGCTGACACCAGCGCACGAGTCAGCACCAGATCTAGAAGCCTGCACACCTCGCAGCGAAGCTACCGTGCACGCAACACTCGAAGCTCTGGTCCTCGATGAAGCTGACACCGCTGACGCAAAGATGGACGCAAGCGAACGACCTGTCGACGAGAAGAATGCCGACCTTGCTGATGCGAAGAGCGCTGCGACAAACGGTGACGCCGAGTCGGATGCAAAAGCCAAACACGAGAAATCTCCAGCCCCCGCTGCGAAAGAGGCGGTCGAGAACCACCCGAGTATAAACACGGAGCTCGACGCGGATGCCAAGACGGCAACGTCCGACTTTCCAGTGCCAGAAGCGGACGAGAAGCCGCTGACGTCAAAGCAGCCAGTGCCAGAAGCAGACGCCAAGGTGGAGAGCGCAAAGCGGACCGACGACAAGTGCGATGCAAAGACAACGAAATACGTGCAACCTCGAGCAGCTTCTGCGGCCGAGACGTACTCGGTAGCAAACTTGTACCCTGTCAAGTGGGACGACCCGACAGCGGCTGTTGCTCCGTCACTGCGTCGCGCGAGCACCAAGCCTGCGCCGACAAGCGCAAAGGGCCTTTCTGCTTCGATGCCAGTGGCCAAGAAACGCATCACGTCGGCCAACACGCCAACAAGTAGCACCTTGGCCCAGCTGCGCCAGTCGCAGCTGCAGCACGCCACCGAAGTTGCGCGCCTCAAGACACTGCTCGACTGCGTTACACAAGAGCGAGATTTGGCTCTCGCGCGTGCCCAACGGGTAGATGAATTGAGCTTATAGAAGACGATATTGACAGGGATCTGCAGACGCACGAAACACTCCAAGCCAAGGCAGACAGTCAGGAGCAGCTGCACCTCCAGGCGGCGACCGCGGTTGCCGAACGCGACGCTCTGCAAGTCCACTGCAAGACGCTGCAAGAGGCGATCCGCAAAGAGCAAGTCGCAGCCGAAGACGCGAGGAAGCGCGCGGCAGCCTACCAATCCGACGTTCATCAGCTCAAGGTCCATGTGATCACAGACGTTTTGCTAAATGTCAATTCTATTAGGCCAAGTGGAGTGTGTGCCAGGGCCAGGTCGCGGCGCTCGAGGCAGAGAAGACGGCGCTCGCAGCTGCCGCCGAGACGTCCAAGCACGAAGTCTACCGCACGCAAGCAGCCCACGAGAAAGCCATGACGCGCATCGCCAAGCTCCAAAAGGAAGTTTCGCTCGCGAGCACCACCCACGCGTCCGAGCGCGCGAGTTGGAAGCGCAAGATTGAGACGCTGAGCGCCGACGCCAAAGCCACTGCAGCGCGGCTCCAGCACGAAGCGGCGAGCGACATGCAGCTCAAGCTCCAGAGCGCGACGATGCTCGGCGAAAAGGCGCGGCGGGAGAAGGACGAGGCGACTGAGACCTTACATCGGCGCACGCAAGTGCTCGAGGCCAAGCTCGAAACGGAAAATGATCGCGTTCGGGTGCTTGAAGCGCAGCTCAAGGCGGCTGCGATATCCTCCAAGAAGCACGCGGCAGCGTTGGACCTGCAAAGTGCCAACAAGCGCCTCGAGACGGAACTCCATGCACTCCGGCGATTCGTAGCACTTCAACAGAAGCAAGCTCCATCCCGTGCGGCGACGCCGGCAGCGCCACCCCGTCGCGACCTCGTCATGATGATGCCGCCGGCACCAATTCGCATCGGGACAGTCGACACGGCCGTGCAAGCGACAAGTGAAGAGCCGTCGGAATCAGAGAGCGCTCAAGTAACGGAGCTCCAAGCCGCGCTCGCAAGGTACGTAAAGATGGCAAGGTAGTCTTTCTAAACAATGTAGACTCGAGGACGTGGTCGCGGGCAAAACCGAGCAGCTCACGTCGCTGCGTGCGCTGCACGCGCAGGAGCTGCAGGTGCAAGCGAGAGCCTTCCTCGCGCGACTAGGGTCGACGAGTTAACATGCACAACGCACAACGTCTCGTGTTGACGTCTCGTGTTGTAGTCGATCTTCGGTGTACCTCATGGGTAACGAACGTTATTGGTGCGGGTGCCACCGCAGCTTGCCACGATTCTTTCAACACTATTTTTAAAGATAAAATATAGTGTGTCGATTTGCGAGCCAAAGTCACAGTTGCAGAGTTGCCACACAAGATCGACCGCTGATGCACGATCGACCGCCGATGCTGGAGGCGACAACGTCGTTCCGCGCATGGAAGACCACCTTCCTAGCGTCGTCGGCGCAGTTCCAAGCGTACTACCTCGTGCCGGGCTACGAAGACCCGCTCCTAACTCGTCGACTCGGCCGAGCGTGACCGCATCCGCGCCGAGGCCAACGCCTCCATGACGGCGCAGGAAACGACGCCAACAAGCAACGATGCTCGGGACGTGCTATCTTTTGCGGAGCACGAGCGCAAGCTCATGCTGCTGGCGACCCAGCGCCTCCAGCACACGACCGCGACGATGGCAACCCGGTACCTTTTGTCGGCGATCGCACCGGCCTTGCGCGTCGACCTCAATGAGACCGACGGACCGTACGCGCTCTGGTCGGCGCTCGAAGCCAAGTGCGTGGGAGGTGATCTCTTGGGCTTGCTGCAGTCGCTTGTCGATCTCGAGCTCCGATACCCGACGGCAACTGCAACCCGCGCCTTTCTCCAGGCCTTTGACGTGCGCAGCGCAGCCTTCCTGGACGCACTCCTCGCGCTGGATGAATCGACGACGACCGACGTGGACACTTATCGCTGCAGAGTCATGGCCAAGTTGCAGTGTGTCTTTCTGGGCCATGCGCTCTCGCCCGGTCTCGCGACTGCCTTTCCCGCATGGCAACGGGCCATCGGCGGTTGGCAGTACGCGGAGCTCAAGCAGCGCCTTGTCGAGCACGGCGAGAGCCTACCTGTGTTTGCAGCCTTCCCGCCCCGGCGCCGAGCCGCGCCGGACAGTGCTATCGACACGAAGGACACTGCTATCGACACGAAGGACACCTGGATGGAAGAGGCGCCAAAACGCGACGATGCGCCGCCACGTATGAGCAAAAGCACGAGTCTGCTGCCAACGTCGGTCCTAGTGCAAGCAACCAGCGTCGCTGCCTGCCATTACTGCACTGTGATGCAGCATACCACGCACAACTGCCCTTTGCTGAAAAAAGACTTTGCGGCCAATGCGGTGCGCGCTACGTTTGCGGTGCCGTACATGGCGACGTGCTCCTACTGCCTAGCGCCGTCGCCGCACAGAGAGTCGAGCTGCCCGCACCTCGCAAAGGACCTCACGCGCCGTTGCGTGCGCCCAGCCTTCCAGCTGCCGCTCGGGCAGTCGTGGCCTGACACCGGTTGCGACGTCAACCTTGTCCGGGACCGCGCCAGAGCGCCGATGGAGCTCGTGTACGCCCGCCACAACAAGGATATGCACTGCGCCTACTGCAACACCAACGACCACCGTCTCCACGGCTGCGGCACACTCCGGCTCGCGATGCTCCAGCGCTCGGTGCGAAAGGGATTCGTCGTGCCGCAAGGTCTCTGGTGCAGGTACTGCGTGTCGTTTGGCCGCTTTGAAGGCCACGCGGAAGCCCACTGCCGCTGGCTCGTCGAGCACGTGCACACGGGCGTGCCGATCTCGCGCCAGTGTCTACCTCTACGCCTCGTGCTGCCCACTCTGCCGACGCCCGAGTGCAGCTACTGCGGCCACCAAAGCCACAAGGTGGAGCAGTGCACGATGCTTCAGTTTGATGTGGTCGCTTCGAGCGTCCGCCCCGACTTTTGCATCCCGGCTAGCGTTGGCTGCAGCTACTGTGTCTTGCACCAAAATCTCCGGCAGCACCCACTGGATGCGTGCTACCGGTTGAGAGAGCACCAAGCAGCGCGGCAAGTGCACCCGCGCTTTGCTGTGAGAAGCAGCAAAGGGCTTCTTATGGGCAGCACCGAGCCACGAGATACGATCGAGCGGCTGGCCACGTACTCTGTTGAGGCTCCAAGCAAGCGGTCCAAGTACGGCCCTTGAAGAATCATCGTGTTTCGTTCATGTAGTTGTGAATGGTATCGTGTAATTTGTGTACAAGAAGATAGAAGGTCTAGGGCGCCGTGGCGATGACGTAGGCGCCATTGACAAAGCTGCCGTCGGGCAAGAGCAAACTGTCGGGGCAGAGGTACGTGTTGACGTTTCCGCGCTGGCAAAAGAGACTCATGTAGCCGTTGTTGTTGACGGCTTGGATCCGCATATAGTAGGTTGTCCCCGACACGATGCCGTGACCCGCCGTCGTCAAGAGGACGTTGGTGCCGGCGACGGGCACGCGGTTCGTACCGGAAAAGACGGACGACGTGCTCCACTCGAGGTAGTAGCTTCGGAGACCCGACCCGCCGTAGACGGCGCTGACGCCGAGAATCAACGGACACGGCACGGGCGACGCGAGCGACCCAAAGCACGGAATGCCGTGGTACGGAACATACGGCGCCTGCCACTGGACGTAGATGCCGGCGGTAGGCGTCGCGACCACCGACGCCGCGAGCGAGATGGGTTTGCCGGGGGCGACGAGCGCGGGCACGCTCGGGAGGGGAGCCGCGTCTTGGGGCGCGCTCGGACCGAGTCGGTTCACGGCCGAGACGCGCACAAAATACGCGGTTTGCGCCGTGAGCAGTGTGATCGTGTACGACGTCTGCGTCGTGTCCGAGATCGCGACGCTGCTGCGGTCCGGCGCCGGCGTCAGACTGTCGTACGTCGCCACGACGTCCCACTCGATGATGTAGCCCGTGAGCGCGTCGCCGCCATTGTCGGCCGGCGGCGCCCACCCGACTGTGAGCATACTGGGCGACGTCACACCCAGCACGACGTTGGTGGGCGAGAGCGGCACCGTGGACGGGTTGAGTGAGAGCGGCGACGAGAGCGCTGGGAGGCCCGTGCCTTGCGAGTTGGTCGCTTGCACTTGCACGAAGTAAAAAAGGCCCTTGGTCAAGCCCGGTAGGATCGCGGTAAAGGGCGAGCCATTCGCGAGGTTGTTGACGACCAACGTCACCGGCGACGCTGAAAAGTCGGGGGCGACCGACCACGTCACCGTGTACGACGTGATGATGTCGCCGCCATTGTCCACCGGCGGGCTAAACACCACTTGCAATGTCGAAATCGAGTTGACGGTGAGCGTCACGCCGGTCGGCAAACCCGGAACGACCATCGGTTTTTGCGGACTCGTGACGGCTTGCGGCAAGCCAAACCCAATCGCGTTGAAGGCCGTGACGCGCACGTAGTAGAACTGACCCTTCGTGAGCGCACCGGCCGCGGGAATGACTTGGGCGCCCGTGCACGGCGGGTAGAGGACACCCGCAGTGACCTTGACCGCAGCCACTTGGTAGTCGGTCGACGCACACGTGCTGCCAGCGCAGTTGAGACTCGACGACGACGCGACGGCTTCAAGGGTGAAGTCGTCGCCGGCGTCCAGAAACGTGATCGACCACACATATCCTACACCAAACGCATGAGTAGATGTCCCTACTCACTCTGCAACGTACCGCCGTCGGCTGCGGCCACGGGCGTCCGAGACACGGTCACGCCGTTCGCGATCGAAGCGAGGCCTTGCAGTTTGCGCTGAAGCGACCCCGACGTCTGTTGCCGCGCCACGTTGCACGTGTCGGTGCACGTAGCGCACGCAGTGCAGTAGAGCAGCGAGAACGCGGGCTGCGCGCCGAGCTCTGCCGCCCCAAGCGCGACGGCGTTGAACGGAATCGGGTCGGTCGTCCACACGGCGTTGGCGCGCGTGAGCTTGAGCTGGAACCACCCGGCACCAATCGGCGACGTCTGCGCGACGTTGACGCGGCTCGATGTGACCCGCCAGACTGCATTCACGTTGGCGACCGCACACCACACGCTTCGGCTTCCCGCGCTCGAAAATGCCGGCGACGTGTCGTACTCGACGAGGTATTTCAAGACGGGCGACCCGCCGTGGCTGATTGGCGCCGAATATGTCGCCAGCAGTTGCGTCGACGAGCCAGGCTGGACGCTCACCGAGACGGCGGTGGGCGGCGACGGTACCTGCAGCGGCGGTGTGATTACGACCGGGTAGCTTGCCGCGCGAGGGCCAAACGAGAGCGTGTTGCGCGCCGTGACCGACGCGTAGTACGCCGTCCCGGTCGTGAGATTCGGAATCATGTACGTGAGGACGTTGGCGGCCGTCGTGGCGTAGGATCCGTAGCCGATGGCGACTTCGCCGATGCGCACGTACGTGTAGATGGCCGCACAGACGGTGTCGGCGGGCAGGCACCATGCGCCCGTGTTGAGCACGACGTTGTTGCCGTCGTACACCGTTGCGACGGAGGAGGTTGGCAAAAGGTTGCTGCTGTCGACGGCCAGCGCCGGGGCGTTGCCGACGAACGACGCAAATGTGATTGCGTACGCTACCATGTTGGCTGGAAACGCTCCGTTGGTGATCGTCGCCACCGACACTTGGCCGATCGTCGCGAGCTGCTGGAGCACGTTTTGCACGAGCGACGCCGGCGCTGACGCTGGGAGGTAGTTGGACCACGACGACCCTTGGAACGCCAGTCGGAAAAACCCAGATGTTGTCAGTGCAGCGTTCGCGTTGGTTATCGTGAGCACTTGGACTTCGGGCGTGCCGGGGGTACTGGTCGTACCACCGACGACACCGGCCACCGCTTCAAATGTACTTGCTTGGATCCCGCTACCACCCGTGGACGAGACGATCGCGATCTGCAGCAGCGGCTGGTTGCACAGCGCCGTTGCAAATGTCACGCTCCACTGGTACCCTTGGTTGACATTGATCGCACTGCGCGTGACCTCGACGTTTCCGATGAGCGGCGCGCCGGGCGTCGTGCCGCCCCCGAGGTTCATGAGCGCGCTGCGGACGTTCTCGGGCGCACAGTCCATGGCCAAGCTACCGGTGAGCGAGCCACCAAACGCCAACGTAAAGGTCAGCGCAGTCGGCGCATTTGTCCATTGCAGTTGCACCACTTGCACTTCGGCGCGAGACGCCGTCGTCCACCACTCGACGTTGAAGTAGCTCAGCGGTCGTCCGTTGGACGTGGTCGGCGGCGCCCACACGACCGTGGCCTGCGTGATCGGCGCGTTCGGTTGCTTCATGGGCGTACTGATGCGCACACTGGTCGGCGCCGACGGAGGTCCGGACGGCGCCAACGTGTTGGTCGCAATCGTCGCGAGACTGGAACCGACGCTCGTCTTGGCGCGGACTTGCACAAAATACTGCGTGCCAGTGACAAGCCCCGTGATCGAATACGTGAGCGGCCCGCCCGCGTACAAGGACACAAAACTTGCCGCAGGGACGTCGACGGGGAAGAGACGCCCGGCCGAGGTGAAGGTCGACACCGTGTCGACGTCGACCGAATAAAACGTGACGGCGGCGCCGTTGAGCCCCTGGCCATCGCGCGCGGACGGGTGAATCTGGAGCTCGAGCGACGTGGGCGACTGCACGTACAAGACGGCCGAGAGCACCGGGTCTGGAAGCACATTCGTCGGTGTGATCGCAATCGGGAATGACCATTGACAGTTATTTGGTGGGGTGCCCGAGACCGCCACACGCATGAATGGCACCGAGTTGACAGCAGCAAGGCGGACGTAGTACGTCACCGCCGGCGTGAGGCCTTGGATGAGGTACTGGTACGGCGGCGTGCCCTGGATCGCGACGCCCGACACCGTCGCCGGCGGAATCCGGTAGAACACGACGTCGTACGCTTGCGCGAGAAACGACGGGCATGCGTTGGCTGCCACTGTGATCGTCGTTGGCGACATGGCTGTAATCGTGAGCACGCACTGCATGGCACCGAGCGTGATCTGATTGGTGACGACGAGAACAGAAGTCAAGTCCACCGAGATGCTGAGCGACGTCGCGCTAAAAGCCGTGGCACACCCGGTGCACGCCGGTCGTCCGTGCAGGAAGCTCGTTTGCGTGTCCCACTGCACAAGGTACGACGTAATGTCGCTGTTGTAGTTGATCGCGCTGGTGGCGGGCGGCGCCGGCGGACTGAAGTAGACAACTGCTTGCGTGCCTGAGATGACGACGATGTTGAGCGCGTTCGGGGCGTTGGGCACTTGCCGCGGCGTCGCCGTGGCGACCGTCGACGCGACGCTGGCGCCGTTGACGTTGACGGCGTTGACAGTCAGGAAGTACGGCGTGCCGGGTGTCAGCCCGGGTGTCGACGGCGATACGTAGACGCAGCGCTTGCACGACGCACCGCGCGTCACGACTGTCGCGTCACTTGGCTTGAGCTGCAGATTGCTCGCACGCAGCATGCCCGGCGTCGAGACTGAGAGCAAGTCGACAATGTATTGGTACCCTTTGGTCCACTGATAGACCGGCACACCGAGCGATGAGACGCCTGCAAACGCCTTCGGGCTGCCGTTGGTATCGCCGAGGTACAGCGCACTCGACGGCAGCGACGCCGATGACGTGTCACTAAGAACTGTGTACCAAGTGCCGCCAATTTGAATCGGGACGCCCGGCACGCCGTAGGCAAACGACGCAAAGTTGCATACTTGGCCAGATGCACACGTCACGTACAACTGACCTTGCACGACGTCGACCGTGCCAACCAGCGCAGTTGTTGCGTACGATTGCGCAACCGACGCCGTCCGAATCGCTGGAAGACTCTCGAGCGCGACGCGGACGTCGATCGCGGCCGACTGTGCGTTCAGCGGCGGCGTCGTGGCGCCGTTGAAGGTCAGCTGGAACGTCCCGCTGAGTGCATTCGTAGGACGTACGTAGATGCCCGCCCGGCTCGTCGGCGCCAGCGTAATTGTTGTACCACCGGTGCCGCTGTCCGCAGCTGTGCTCCCGAGCGCGCCATAGACGTAGTGAAACGTCATCGTCACAACGTTGGGCGTAGCCGACGCGCACAGTAAAAGCTGCGACGGCGCCGTCACCGTGACTCCCCCCGTCGGAGCACTTAGCGCCGTCGCGAGTCCGCTCGCCACGTCCCCCAAGAGCGCATTGAAAGGAAACGTGGTCGTGATGCTCTTGGCGGTGATGGCGACCGCGCCCGCCGTGCCGGTACACTGGAACGCCAGGACCTCCTTCCGGTAGCTCGTGCTCCCAGCGGCAACGATCGACGGCACGGCGCAACCGGCCGACGATACGAGAACCGGCTGCGGCCCAAACTGCCCCGAAAACACAATTGCAAACGACGTACTGAGCGCAACGAAACCAGTGGTCGGTGTCACGCTGACGATGCCGTTGATCGTCGCAAGGCCATTCAACATGCTCTGCACGGTCGCCAGCGGCGTCGCCCCGACCAAAATCGTGCCGGTAGCTGCGCCCATGAACGAGAGCGTGAAGCTCGTGCAGACAGCGCCGACGGCGATGCTCTGCGTCGTCGTGGTTGGTGGTGACAGCGTGCCCGACCAGCTGAGGCTCGACGCCCCCGTTGTCACGTACTGCCGCGCCGTCAAGAGCGCGGGGTCCGTGAGACTCAGCGCCATGGGCGTTGCCGCAAACGTATTGGCCGTGTCCCAGTTGACCGTGTAGCTCGTGATGGGCGATCCATTGTCGGTCGATGGCGGGTCGAACGAAATTCCTAGCCGCGTGCCTGAGCCCAGGGACCCGAGAACGAGTCGCCGGACGTCGACGAGCGTGTTTGTCCCAGTGAGCGCCGCCGAGTTGGCTTGGAGCAGCGGAAGACTGCCGCCCGTCACCACGTTGTCGACAAACGTGACGTACCACTCGTACCCGCCCTCAAAGTCCGGGCCGGTGCGCGTGACGGCGAGCGCGCCGATCGTCGCGAGCGTCTGCAGCTTTTCTTGGAGCGACGAGCCGTCGCCAAGCGACTGCGCGGTGGACGCGGGGGCATTCCACGCAATCGGCGGCGTCGTTGCCCCGAGAAACGTGAGCGTAAACGTGCCGCCCATCTGGTTGCCAGCGACTATCTCGGTCACGACAATGTCGTTGCCAATGCCCGAGAGCAAGTTGGTCGGCGTCAGCAGCGGCGCGTTGCCTTGGTACGTCAAGAACGAGATCGACCACGTGTACCCACGTTGTCCGTCGGGTCCTGTCCGTGTCACGAGGACAGCCCCGACCCACGACTGCTGCTGCAGAATGGACGTCATGGTCACTTCGTCCGCATCGAACGGGATCGGGTCGGACGCGCCGAGGAGGAAGCTGCCGCCCAGCACATTGCCGTCGACGATCGTGGCGCTGGCGCAGGTGGCCCCACTCACGGCGCTAAAGGTGGCATCGGCCGAACAGATCCACTGCGGAACGTTGCCGCTGACTTGATCGAACACGATCGTCCATTGAGTACCACCCTGGTCGTCAGGGAGGGACGCCGAGGCGTACACGCTCGGGCCGCCGATCGGGAGACGCGCAATGTCGGCTTGAAGCACACTCGCCGAAGCCGTCGCCGCGGCAAAGAACCCGCTCGCAAACCCGTTGGGATGCGTATACGTGACCGCGACGCTGGCTGTCGTGGCCGTCAGCACATTGTTGACGAGCGTCTGGAACGGTGTACACCCCGTGGCCACGACGAGCGCCGGCACGGGCTGCAATGGTACGTACCGCGACAGGCCGTGGCCGTGGAAGAAGATATCGTAGATCGCACCGTTGGGCGCGACCACAGGGTCCAACGACTGCACAACAACCACCGCATCGATGTTGGACAGGAGCTCGAGCGCCGCCTCGAGATCGACCGCAGCAATGTTGAAGGGCAGGCATGTCGTCGTTCGTGTGCCGCCAGCAAACGTAAACGACAGCGTAAAGCCGCCCGTGTACAGCACGGCGGCGCTCTGCACGACGAGTCGCTGGACAGCCGTGTTGGTGCCCATCGCGCTCTCGAGGTTTTGGCTCTGGCGTAGCGAGTAGGGGGCACCGCCCACAGTTGCAAACGCGGTGCACGCCACCGACGCCGCTGCGGTTTCCAGAATCTGCATTGGCGCTACTTGGCCCGCGACGTTGAGGCTCACAAAGGTTACTGAAAATGTGTAGCCGAAGTCGGAGCTCACGCTTCCATCGCCGGTGCGCGTCACGACAATGTCGGTGGCGGCCAAGCCTCCCGTGTTCACCAGCGCCGCGGCCACGTCGCTCGCTTGGGCATTCCAGTTGATGGCCGCGGTCGGGTATGCCTGGTACGTCAAGGCGCCGTTGTTGTTGTCGCTGCGTGTGTCCGTGTAGACGAGTTGGAACTGCCCGGCCGTGATCGTGGCGCTGGCAGCGATCGCAATGACTTGCACCGTCGGTTGTCGAAACGCAATGTTACCGACGACGCAGGTGCTCGACCCGCAAGGGTTGGTCGTGACCGTGAGCGTCTGGACCTCCGAGATCATGGCCGCCGACGTCGTCACCGACTGCACTTCGAGCACGTGACGCGCGGCCGTTTTGACGCGCTGGACTTCGCTCACAAACAGGTCGAGGCCGGTCTGAACGTTGACGGGCGGCGGTGGCACAGCGCTGGGAATGATCGATGCCGACGTCGACCACGGACTTGAGCCAATCGCCGTCGTTGCCGCAACGCGCATGTAGTACTCGTTGCCTGGCTCCAGGCTGGTCACAGTATACTTGTTGGACGGTGACCCTTGGACAAAGTTGTCAAATACAGTGACGACGCCCGTGACGTCCGTGCTGTCGACGCCAAGTGCTGCAACGTCGCCAATCATCTCGGCAAATCGCAGCGACCACTGGAACCCGTTCACTTTGTACACGGCCAAGTTGACGCCGCGACTACCAATGTAGGTTGCAGGTACCGCCGCCGACGCGACCGTGGCCAGAGGCACATTGGACGCAGAGAGCATGTTCGTGCTGGACCCGGTGCGTATCGTGGTGACGGTGACGGTGCCAGTGCCAAAGTTTTGGAGGTTGCTTTTCGTCGGTGGGCCAATGTTGCCCATGACGAGCGGTCCGAGGCAGTACACGGTGTAAAGGTACCCATTCGGCGACAAAACGGGGTCGGTGCGCACCGTCACCGTGACGCCCGACGCGGTGCCCGTTAGCGTCGCAAAAGCCGCCTCCAGTTGGACTTCAGTGGCTTTCCACGACACGGTCGTCGTTGTGCTACCGAGCGTCAAGTCGTACGTGGCGCTGAGCGCAATGTTGCCGTTGGGGTTCGATACGACGATCTGAATCACAGCAAATTGTTCGTTGAGCACGGAAAACGTCTGCGATACGCCGTAGAGCACGGCAGCGCCGACAGCGTCCCCGGCGTACGGCGTCGACAGCGCGAGTCGGTTGTCCGCAGAGCCGCCCGCGTACACGGAACCCACCGTCACGGACGACGTACCAGCAAAAGCGGTGCAGCTCGAAGTGTCGACGACAAGGAGCGGCAGTGTGCCACCAAGCGCCGCCGCTGTAAACGTCACTGAATACACAAACCCGTTGGGTGCGAGGACGGGGTCGATGTCCAAATTGACTACGACGCCGTTGGCGCCGATCGTGGAGAGTGCGTTGAGAGCGGTTTGGACAGCGGACGCGGCTGCGTTGTAGTTCACGCACGTACCCGTCGTTTGGCCGAGGAACCCGATCTTGAAGCTCGGGGTGCCAGCAATCGGTGCCGTTGCGTCCGAAACGACGATGCGTTGGACCGCGTAATTGCCGCCGCCGTTGACGACGCTGGCTACGATGCGCCGCGAGCTGCCGCCGACGATCGACCACCCGTTGGTGCACGTGGCTTCGCTCACGATGGCGATGGGGGCCACGTAGCTGTATGAGCTTCCGACAAAGTAGAAATCGTAAGCATACGCTGGCGCTCCGTCGCGTAGCGTCTGCACATAAATCGACGGCAGACCCGACGACACGGGCGAACACGCTCCGGTGCCCATGGAGAAGACGACGAGCGGTGCCATGTTGCCGAGAACGTTGCTGAGACCGACGCGAAGGTTGCCGTTGTAGGCAATCGTGTACTGAAACCCGTAGCCCGACGCCGCCGTGCCGTCGCCGGATGCTGTCACGACGATGTGGCCACTCATGACATTGCTCAGTCCGTTCAGCGCGGTTTGGAGCGCGGCCGCCGAGAGACCGTAGTTGAGACAACTCGTCGTTGCCGTCGCGCCGTTGTTGGTCAGCGCAAGGCGAAAGTACCCGTTGGCGCCGTTCACGACGGGGGCGTTGGACGCCAGCACGAGTTGCTGGAGCTCGGTGGTTGACGTTCCAGAGCCGTAGGACGACACGAGCACGGTATCGGGCCACGCGGCGTTGACTTGGGCCTGAATCGCCGCACTCGTGTCGCCCCACTTGATACACGTCGTCGCAACGCCGCCCAACGAAAGCTGGTAGTATCTACATCACAAACAATCAGCACGACAAGATCGTATGGGTACAGTACCCTGTGGGGTCGACGACGTAGCCCGAGTCGGTCGAAAGAGTAACGCGCTGGTGCGCCATGCGCCCTCCGTTGAGCACAGTGGCTGCTGTTGCTGTTGCTCCAGCAAGTGCTGTGCACGAAGCAGTGTCCACCGTGAGCTGCGCCACGTCACCAAGAACGGTGACACCGCCAAAGTAGATCGTGTAGACGATCTGCGTGTTGGCACCGACGACTGTCGCCGGGCTTTGCGTGACAGTGACCAAGCTGTTCGACCGCGTCGGGTCGATCGTCGTTACGAGACCATTGAGCACCGTAGCGAGCGTCGCTGTTTGTACCGGCAAGCACGCGGACGCCGTCGACGCGCCTTGGTAGGCGAGCGTGAGCTTATAAAAGTTTACCGTTGCCACATTCGTCGGTGTCCACGACGCCGTTGGCAGCGACACTGTGAGCGTCTGAATCTCAATACCCGTGCGTGCCACCGTGTAGATGCTGCCGCTGAGGCGCACCTGGTTGCCGGGAAACAACGTCGTTGAGAGCGACGTCGGTGCCACTACACTCGGCGAGGCCCTTGCCACCGTGACAGTCGACGACGCAACGACACCCGTCACAGGGACATCGCCATTGGACCCGACCAGCGTGTTAGCGGACGGCGGTGGTCCAAAGCGAATCAAATCCCCGGGTGCGAAATACTGCGTGATATCGACACCCGAGATGGTCGCCACATTGCTGTCCTGCGCAATCGTCGCAATGGCGAGCGGAATGCGGTACATTGACAAGACGTCGCTGGTGGTCGGAACGTAGCTCATCGACGGCAGTGCTTCGATTGCTTGTTCGAGAATGGGCGCCGACGCCGCGTACGGAATCGGTGGCGTGTCGGCGCCGTCGTAGGAAAGCGCAAACGCTCCCGTGATCGGCAAATTGCCCTCGGTCACGGTGATGACGTTGACAGCCGACTGGGCGCCCGTGAGCGCCGGGTACGAGACCGTGAGAGCGTTCATGTTGCCCGTGCCTGGTGGAAACGTGTACCCGCTGTATGCGCCGGGGTTCTTCAGAAACACGACACGCCACCGGTACCCGCCGCGCGTGCCGTCATTGGCGACGGCAACGTCGTCCCAACCGCCCGCACACCCCGTCGTCAGACACCCGAGCCCCACCGACGGAATTGCAAACTGCGTGACGCGGACACGCCCGAGCGTGTTCATTTCGTTGAGCTTTCGCTCCAAGCGGTCCGCGGTCTCCAGGTAGGAAATCGCACGAGGTCCAAACGTCGAGTGATAGTCGATCGTGAACGAGCCACCGAGGGGCACCGATCCGGGCTGAGTCTCGGCGACGGTCACTTGACAGACACAGGTCGGCGCGGCTAGAAACGACACGGTCAGCGGCGCCACGTTCCCAGCGCCTGGCGGTGAATTGCCAGGGTTGGAGATGAACCGAATGAGCCACGACATGGCACCGTACTGTCCAATGACCGTCCGTGTGACGCTGGTGACGCGGCCGTTGGCCCAGATGCCCGTCTCAAGTGACGTCGCGGACGCAGCGCGGAGGACACGTGCGATAGCATTCTCTTGCGCATTCCAAGGTAGTACCATAGTGAGAGCGAATGGACCGCCCGTGAGACCGCCGGCCATCGGTACGCAGACCTGGTCAATGACATCAACAAAGATGGGCGTGACGCTGGCCACTGAAAAGACGCACGACGCGTAGCCTGCGAGGTAGAATTGGTCGCCCGATAGCAGCGTCGATGGCAAGTTGGGCTGCGCCGTCGTCAAGACGAAGCCACCGACGATCGCCCCGCACGTCGAGCCAAGTGTCGCGCCCTGGCACGTGGCCGCGAGAGCAAACCGACTCTCGACCCCCGGGTCCCCCGTCACCTTGAAGACACTGAAACTAGACCGGAGGATGACGCCATCGACGGCCACACCGCACGGGTTGGTCGTCTGATCGCAGATTGCGATCGCCGGCGTCGAGGCCACCAAGCTGTTGGTCGCGACAGTGAGCGGTGGCACGTTCCCAGGTGCGTTGCACAAGTTGTTGACCGAGTCGTGCTGCGCGCAGGGCTCCTTGTCGTACAAAAATGTGATCGTCCACGTATACCCCCCGGTCAGAACGTTCACGGCGCTTCGCGTGACGGCGACTGTCCCGACGTTGGTCATGGCCTGCAAGGTTTCTTGCATCGACTGTCCGCTGCTCTGGCTCTGCACCGCCGTCGCCCACGCGTTGTGCGCGATGGGTGCACTGGTTGCGACCACGTTCTTGGACATGTAGAGGCTCGACGTTGTGTCGAGCTGCAGTGTGAAGGTGCCTTTGAGCGGGCCAACGCCGGGCTGGGACGTGCCGACGACGCAAGTTGGAGAGCCGTCGTTGGCCGTGTCGGTGAGTCCTTGCGCCAAGCACGACAGCTGTAGCCCCATGGCGGTGAGCGGCCCCACGTGGCGGCCCCACGCTTTCGAGTACCCCGTCTCCCACACGTCGGTCCACGCAGCCGGAGGCCCCCACCAGTTGCCAGGCGTGTACACTGCGTGGTCGGCGGTTGGGTCTTTCCACGTTGACGACGTAAACGTGATGGACCACTGGTACCCGCGCACTTGCGTGACGGCATTGAGGACACCGGATGTCGGTCCGAACGGCCCAATGCGCGAGACAGTCACCTGCGAGGGCTGGATCGAGTTGAGGTTGTTGAGCTGCGTCGCTACGTCTTGGATACTAGCATCGTACGCGATCGGGCCCGTGGTTTGTCCGTTGAAGGTCAACTGAAACGTGCCACTGAGCTGGTTGCCAGGAACCACCTCGTTGGTCGTGATGCTGACGCCGGTGCCGACGAAATTCGGGGACACGACTTGAATCAGCGGCACGTTGCCCCCCGTGTTGGCGTCCGTGTACGTGATCGACCACGTAAAGCCCAAGGCTCGCGTCGGAAGCGACCGGTAGACACTTACACTGGTCCATCCAAACTGCGCCTTGAGATATGTCTCGAACGCCGTATCTCGGACCGTGGGCCCCACGAGAATGTCGCCGGCGTCCGTGTTGGTGCCAAGGACGCACGCGGCGGCGGTCACGACACCGTTGTACGAGAGCTTGAACGACCCGCTGATTTGGTTGCCGTCGACACTTCCGAGCGACGGCGTGAGCAGACTCGTTGCGTCTTCGATCACAACAACGGGCGCCGGAGTGGCCCCAATCGCATTGCCGAGACTGCTTGTGAACGTCATCTTGGGGACGTTCCAGCCGCGCGACAAGAACGTGATCGTCCACGCGTAGCCGCCCGACCAGCGCGTCGGCGCCGGTGGGTACATGCTGCGCGTGACGCTGACTGTGCCCCAGACCCACTCGGCGACGGCGCCAACGCCTTGCAGCAGCTGCGTCAGCGCGGCCGGTGTTGCATCAAACGGAATCGCCGGCGTTGTAAAGAGAACGCCGTCGGACGCCCGCGTCAGCGACAGCGTAAAGGTGCCATACATCATGCTGCCGATCGACGTCCGTGTCACCGAGCACGTCTTTGTGCCGCTCGTGACGACGATGTTGGTGGCGTCGCACGTGAGGAGCGGGATCGTGCCTGTGTTGCTGACAAAGCTAATCGCATACGACGTGCCGACAAAGGCGAGGGACACGACCGGCGTTGCGACCACGGACACGGCTTTGCCGAGGCTGTTGAGAAACTGCGTCGCCACGACCGTGTTGACCTCGGGGTACTGCGTCCCGCCGGCGCCTTGCCGCATGACGAGGTTTGAGATGGGCGAGAGCACTTTGGCGGCATATACGGCGAGCGTCGCGGATGAAAACGTCGAGCAATAGCGCCCGACGTTGTTCGTGTCGACCGTTAGCGTCGTGGCCGTCCGCGCCGAGATGCCAAAGACGCACGGACCAATCTGAAGCACGGCCCCCACGGCCACCACTGCCGTCAAATCGACGTTGACCGAAATCGTGGTGCCGTCAAACGCCGTAGCACACGTCGCGCAGAGCGCCGGCGCCGTCGGTTGGCAAGCGGCGCTGACACCCGGGAACGCACCGGTCGTGACCGTCGGGTCCGAATACTGCTCGCACGTGTAGAAGAGTCGAAAGACGCTGCCAGGATTGTACACGGGGTTGCTGCCAATTTGGGTCTCGGACGTTTGCGTTGGGACCGGTGATTGCAGCGGCGCGAGCGTACTCTGGAGCTGGATCGCAGGAATATTGCCAGCGACTTCAATGCCTGTAAACGTGATGCTGAAGTCGAGTGTGAGTCGGTTGTTGGTGTTGTCGGGCGTCGAGACGCGCGTGACGACTACCGTGTCGACGTTGGAGAGACCTTGCAGTGCCGTCACAAAGTTCGATGCGCCCGTCGAGTCGACTGACGACGTGACCGCTGTCGTCACGTCGACGGTCTGCGCTGTCATCTGGTTGGCGCAAAAGAAGCACAAGGTGGTATCGAGGCTGATCACGAGACCGCCAGTTATCCCCGCGGTAGTCGTAATGCCCGTAAACGTGATGCTAAAGGACTGGATCTCATTGACGCGGGTCGTGCCGACGACGACGGTTTGTATCTCGGGGGCGCTCGTCAGAGACGTCCGGACGCCCTGGACTTCGTTGATGACCGTTGCGTCGAGAACGATGGTTTGCACTTCGTTCCGATCGGTCGCCGACGTCGTGATGGTCTGGACCTCGTCGACAACGTTGGCGCACGACGTCGAGATCGTTTGAACTTCGTCCACGCCCGTCACCTACAGAAGCGATTCGGTAACGAGACGACCGCAAGGCGAGTGAGTACCGTGGTTCGGACCGTTTGGCGTTCGTTAGTGACCTGCACCGTGGCCTCAATGTACTGCGTCTCGGACACGGGGTCTGTTGAGACCCACAGCGTCTGCATCTCGCGAACGATGGGCACCGAGACTGTCGCGGCGTGTCCGCTCAAGTAGCTGCTGTTGTCGTCGTACATGAGCGCATACGACTGCAGTGGCAGGCCACCATCGAACGTTGGCGTCTGCCACGAAGCCAAGACGCTCGTCGCACTCACATCGGTGAGTTGCAAGCTACTCGGGGTGCTCGGCAGCTGGTTGCTCAAGACAGCCGACAGCGGCGTTGTCGCCGCCACAGGACCCGCGCCGAGCCCGTTGAACGCCGAGACGCGGACAAAATACGTGCCACCGGGCGTGAGCACCGACGAGACGACGCCCGTCAAAACGTTTTCGCCGCCAATAACGTACTGCAGCGTCGTCCCCGACACCATGGCGAACGCAGCGGGCGAGTCAAAGGTGGGCGAGACATCCCACTCGATCATGTACTGCGTAAGTGGGATCCCGCCCGAGCCGCCAAAGACGGGAAGCGCCGTCGACGGTGCCTGCCATGAAACCAAGTATCCTGCGCTACTGACCACGGTCAGCGTCGGAGAGATGGGCGGTCCGGGGCGCACGTTTTGAGGCAGCACCGACGATGGCACGGTGATCGCCCAGTCACTCGTGCCCCGGTCGTTGGTCGCAGCGACGCGAGCAAAGATGGGGACTTGCATCGCGATCGGGATGTTGTAGTAAAATGGCCCCGTCGCGCTCGAAGACACGATCATGACAGAGTAGTAGTCGAAGCCAGGGCTCGTGACGGACGAGAACCCGACATCGGTATCCCACTGCACCGTGTACGACATCACGCTTGTACCACCGAGATTTGCGGGCGGCGACCAAACGACCTTGAGGAGCGTACTCGACAAGACCAAAAGCTGCACATTAGTCGGTGCGGACGAGATGCCCCGGGGGGTCTCGTACTGCGGCAGACCCCACGCACCCGGGCTCCACCCCTCCGAGTTGCGAGCGCGAACAAGCGTCAAGTACGGGACACCTGTCGTGAGCTGGGGCACGACCGTGGTTTGCGCGGTACTGGCAACGAGCTGCTGGCACGTTCCGGCGGCGCCACTGCTCTCGCAGTAGTACGTGGGCTGCACCCCGGGGCTCGTGATTGCTGCATAGATCGTCGCACTGGCCCCCGTGAGGCCGCTCCCGTCGGGAACGATCGCAAGTACGTCGTTGGCGACTTCGTGCGCAAACGTGACAAACCAGTTGCGTCCGTACCCGTTGGGCGACTGGGTCACAACCACGGACGACACCGTGTCGAGTGCTTGGAGAGCGCTTTGGAGATCGGCCGCCGAGGCGTTGAACGGAATCGGGTCCGTTTGCTGCGACATGACGACACCGTTGACGGTCAGCGGCACAGTGAGGCGAAACATGCCGCCGATCGGCGCCAGTCCGTTTTGGACCGTCGTGACGAAGATGCCAGCACTGGTGCCGCCCCAGTTGTCACTCGGCATGACAACGAGCGGCGGGACGTCACCGATATGCATGTCACCAAACGTGATTGACCACGTAAACCCGTTCGCGCTCACAAAGACGGGAACCGGGACCGTCGTCGTCACGGCTTGTCCCAGCGCGGTCAGCGTGATCGTGGTGCCTGCCAACGTTGCAATCGTGTACGGTTGACCCGCAATCGTAACCGCGTTCCCCACAGCGAATCCGCAGCACGTTGCGACGTCAGTCGTCGGCGCCTGCGCTATCGCCGTCGTGGCTGTCGAAAGAAGCACGTACAGCCCCGGCACCGCGCGCATGGACGTGGCGGACGTCACGATCACGCTGCCAACACCGGGAACCAGCTGCAAGAGCGACTGCACCGAGCCGACGCCGGTCGCCGGGGCGTTCCACGCAATGTTGCTCGTGCTCTTTCCCCGAAACACAAGCTTGAAGTTGCCACCCAAGCTCGGTGACGACGCGACGCTCGTGACTTGCTGGATCTCGGGCAAGCCGCGCAGTGCCGACGTCGTTATCGTTTGAACGACGGGCTGCCCCGCGCTGCGAAACCACTCGACACGATAAGCGTCGACGGGCGCACCGCCCGTGCTGAGAGGCGGCGACCACGTAACACTTAGCGCCGTGGCGCTGGACACGGTCGTCGTTACGGTGTTCGGCGCCGACGGCTGCGTCCGAGGTATGCCTTGTGCGAACGGCATCGTCGGCGACCCGTACCCGACAGTGTTGTAGGCCATGACGCGGGCGTAATACTTGGTGCCCGGCGAGAGGCCCGAGACGCGAAGGGCGAGCGGGTTCGTGCCGTGCACCTTCTTGGCCACTTGTACGCTGGCCTGGGTGCCCGTTAGCGTCGCCGTCACAATCTGCAGGGGAAAGATGTTGCCCGAGCCCGACACGATGTTGTTCTTGATGTGTGCGAACGTCACGGACCAGCACGCCGTGTTGAGCGCTGAGCTCAAGATCGTCTTGGAGACCTTGGCCGAATGGATGGACGATGTGGCTTGCAGCGCAGTTTGCATTTCGAGCGCCGACGCGAGCACCGAGATCGGTGCCGTCCAGACGCCGTCGAACGATACGATGAACGAACCCACCAGCGGCGACGACGCGCTCGTATAGATGTCTTGCACATCGTACGTAAAGGCGCCGACACTCAAGTCGCGCGTGCCACGCTGGATCTCGGTCACTTGCAGCTGCGCCAAGTCACCATTCAGCATCGTGCTGTCGGCGCGCAGCAGCGCCAAGTCACCCATATTCGCCATGAACGTGATCTTCCACGCCGTGCCCCACCCCAGACCAAAGCGCGAGACGACGATCGGTGTCCCGGGGACGTTGGCATTGCCCGTCAAAAGGACCAGCGCCGACGTCATTTGAGCGGCCGAGCATGCGTACGGCAAGGGCGCTGTCACTTGACCGCCAAACGCCAGCGTAAACGTACCGCCTTGGCCATTTACACTAGAGAATAGGACTGCACACCTTGTCTAGAAGAGACCAAGTACCTTCGGAAACTGGTGGCCACTTGTTGGATCTCAAACTGCTGCCGCACCGTGATAGTGCCGCCGTCAACGCCCAAGTTGGTGAACGTAGGGTCCGACGTATACTCGATATTGTACATAAAGATGGGCGCTCCGCCGTGGTACATGGGCGGCTGGTAGCGCACGTCCAGCCACGTGGCGCCGTGAGCAACGTCAAACGTCACACCCCGAGGTGGCGATGGAAGCACGGCGTTCATGGCCGTCGACGCCGTGACGGCGGCACTCGCAGCGCCAAACCCTGCCGCGTTGGTTGCCGAGATCCGCAGCGCGTACGTGGCGCCAGCGTTGAGCGCGGTGTACCACGGACCACTGGCCGTGTGGGGCGAGCCTTTGCTGGTCGTAAACTGGGTGATCGAGACTTGAGCGGCGTTGCCGCCCGTCCCAACGGTGAACGTCGTGCTGAGTGGCGGGAGCGTCCGGCGGTTGTAATTCGCGCCCCAAAACGTAATCGTATGGACAAACCCAACGCCAACGGCGGTCGACTGCACCGTGACGCCGTCGACGACCGAGAGGGCTTGCAGCGCCGCCGCAATCGTGGTCGTGGTGGCCGACCATGGCAAGGCTGTCGTCGTCTCGCCCATGAACGATACCGTGTACGTTGCCCCAGTACCAATGGCGGCGGCGGACGTTGCCGAGAGGGTTAGGGTCTGCACATTGGACGGCGTCCCTAGTGTGACCGTGTTTGGCGCGACAAAGTAGGGCCGGGTCGTGCGCAAACGCGCGTCGAGGCCTGCCCAGTTGAGCCCGGGAAGCGCGTCCACCGATGCCAGGTTGCCGTACAACGACTTGAAGACGATCGGGTACCGGAAGCCGCCGGCGCCAATCGTCAGCGTGCCTTGCACAATTGGCGCTCTGAGGACTCCAGTAAATGTGACCCAGTTGACACCGACCGACGTCACGACATACTCGCTCCACGTACCGTCGGGCCAAGTGTACCAGACATAGTCCCCCACCAGCACATTCGACGAGAGGTCCGTTGTTGAAATGAACGCGTTGCGGTAAACGGGCGTCGCCGGCGTCGACGCAACGACGGCGGTACCGGCATACGCCGTCGCCAGTGTCAGAGTTACACCGTTGACGAGTTGCACGGTATAGAACGCTGCACCGATCGAGATGACATCGCCGGCGACGATGCCACTGCCCGCCGAGACGACCAGCGTCGTCGAACCCGCCGTGGCCGAAACAACCGTGATAACAACGGCATACGTCGCGATGAAGCCTGGGGCTGACGTTGTGGACCGCAAGAGAGTGCCCGCGGACGCCGGGAAGGTGCCGCCACCAATCGCATTGTCCGCCAGCACAATGTCGGCGCTCGAAACGGACACGATCGTGTGTGTCTCGCCGTTGAAGCGGATGACGTCCCCAGCGACAACGTACAAGCTCGGGTCGATCGCGCTCGCCTTGTACAGCACCGACGTGAGCACGGGCGAGTTGGCCGTCGCCGTGACCGAGAGTGCAAGAGCCGTGTACCCAATCTGGCTCTGATCGCTCGGGACATTGGTGAGGGCCATGGCGACGTTGACATTGTAGAGCTTCTCGAGCTCGGCAATCACCTTGTTCATTGTCGCGGCGACGCCAATCGGAGTCGTTTCCGTATCGTCGAGTGCAATCGTCCAGTCGCCCGACAAGCTATTCAGCGCCGACGTCGACGTAAACTCGACCACCGGAAACGACTGCATGACCGCATTCGTGCCGGTCAAGAAGGCGTCGTCGACCACGATGGTGTCGATCGCGTCGGTAATCGTCGGCGCAAACGTGACCTGCCACGCACGACCGTACGTCCGGTGACGGAGCGTCGTGACCGTCACGGGGCCGTTGACCATGGCCTGCATGGCGGCGGCGACCGCGGCCGCCGTCGTCGCTGTCACACTGAGCGGCGCCGACTTCAGACCCCGATAGAAAAGCGTGAACGTGCCACCCAGTGGCGAGTCGGCATCTGCGATGAGCGTCTGAATGGCAGGCGATCCGGACGCGCACGGGCCTTCGTACTTGAGTGTTCCGATACGACTCTTGACGGCCACGGCCGGCGCCCACGCGGCGCAGGACCCGGACCCGGCATTCAACACCCGCAGCGTTGGCCAGACGCCAGTGGGGTAGTCGCCATAGAACTGTATCTTGTATGTTGGCAGATCAAAGAGCCGCAAGCTGCGCGACTCGCCGGTGAAGGTGGCACACGGCTTCGAGGGGTCGGGCAAGGCGACTGCGATCGTCGTCGCTTGGGCGGCCGGCGCCGTCGACACGGTAAAGGTGCATGCGTCTTGCGTCGTGTCGCCCGCATTCTTTTGCACCCGGAGAAGCGCACCGACGGGAAGGGCCGCGGCTTGGGCGGTGGTGAGCCCCGGGCCCCCGGTGCTCACGATAGTGAGCAGCCCTGTCGAGCTGCTGTAGCCCGTGACAGCGGCCACTTGGCTGCCCGGTAAAAGCACCTGCTTGAAGACATCGGTTCTCTCGACCGAGACGCGGCCGACGTTGGGCAGCGCCATGAGCAGTGTCTTGAGAGACTGCGCACTTCCGCTTGCGACAGCATTAAAGGGGATGCACGCAGTGGCGGACGCCTCCAACTGGAGCTGGTACGAGCCGGCCGAGACGGTGGTCGGTGCAAACAGCTGCAGAATTTGCGTGGCCGACGACGGGCCGACGACAAACGTGTTGCACTTGCTGCTGGATGCACTTAGGACAAGCGAGCTGTAATGTGCAGGAAACGTTGGCGGCGTCAGTACCGCAACCGCCGGTGTCGTGATGGTTGCGCCCGAAGCGACCGACGTGAGCGACGAGACGACTTTCAGTCCTTGCGCCGTGGTGACATCGATCGAGGACACGCGGTTGTTACTCAACGACGACTGGGGAAACGTCACCCGCCATCGGTACCCGAGCGGTCCACGTACGCTTCCAACGGTGTCCACTACAAAGAGAGCAAACGTGCCCGCAAAACTCCCGGTGCCAAGGACGTTGGGGGTCACAGCGACGGCAATATCACCAGCAAGCGGCGTCGACGCGACCGTAAACAACAACTGGTTGACAACGAGCACTGTGCCCACCGGGAGCAACCCCACTTGACTCGAGGTCAACGGTGCGCCAAGCGTCAATGCTCCGAGAGACGAGGAGAAGGCCGAGACGGCATCGGCGGCCGAGCCACCTCCAAGAACAAAGAGCAATCGCGATGCCGTCACGGGACGCATGGTTGGCAGGCGGTTGAGTGCGGCGGCCAACGCGCTCGCCGATGCGTCCACGGGCAGTCGTTGCGACAACTGGCTGCCGTACGAGAGCTGAAAGGTTCCTAGCATGTCATTGGGGACCTGACTGTACACGTCGATGGCGACGACCATCGGTGTGCCAAAGCCAGCGTCCGTCGTCGCCTCGATCTCGTAGCTGGTGATGTCGCTACTGTCGGTCGGCGGCACAAACGTCACTTGGAGCTGCGAAAAGGACACGGGGAGTATGGACGCGATTTGCGGCACCGTCGGTGGTCGGTGCGTGTACGCCTGCAGCTGCATGGTCCCTTGGCCGTACGCCTGCAGCAGATTGGACCCGGGACTCCACCCAATGCCATTTTGCGCGCGTGCGCGCACGGCCAGTGGTGCTGCGCTCGAGACGCCGCCGAGCACAGTCTCAAACATAGCCGGGACCCCGTTCGTCACTTCGGCGACCGTGATCGTCGCGCCCGCGCCCGAGAGGAAGTTGCCCGTCAGACTTAGCAGCGGAAGCGGACCCATGTTGGACGTGAACGTGACGAGCCATTGGTATCCGAGCCCGATCGCCGTGCGCGAGACGTTGACAGAGCCGATCGTCGGGAGGGCCTGGAGCTTCGTCTGCACGTCGCTCGCGAGCTCGTTGTACTTGAGCAGCGCGCCTAAGGACGCTGTCGACGTATAGTACGCGCCAAAGTTGAGGTAGAAGTAGCCGCCAATGGGTCCTGTAGTCGCTGACGTCGTGATCGACTGCACCTCGTAGACGGCGCTGCCAAGCACCGTTGACGACAGAAGGGTGCCAAAGTCGGGAAGGACGCCGACACTGCCGGGTACAGGGGCGAGGGTCGCCGCGCACCCAACACAAGCTCCTCCGTACTCGTCGGTCAAGTGCGGATCGACGCGGAGGCACGGCGAGGTCGGGCAGCTCGTCGGGCCCAGCGACGATAGCGTGATCGACCACACGTAGCCTAGTTGACTGGACGGACCGACGCGCGAGACGGCTGCCGTGCCGAGGCCCGGCAGCGACGACAGAAGCGCTTGCATTTCACGTGGCGTGGCATCGGCGCGGACCGTCACCTTCTTCCGGCGCAGTACCGTCGCTTGGTTCGACGAGGCGAGGGTCCACGGCGCCAGCACGAGCTCGTTGGCGATGCTGCCGAGGGTCACGGTCGACGTCGTGATGGCGTGGACGCTAAACTCTTGGCCGCCGATTTGGATGTCGTCGCCGACGGCCACCGTCAGTGTCAAGTCGGTCGACGTCGCCACGGTCGCGCTGCCTTGCGTCACGGCGACTTGGCCGACGGCCGTGTCGTACACGTAGACTGGTACGTTGTTGGCACCGAGGATGTGCTTGGTGTCGAGCGGTACTTGAACGTCGGTGAAGGGCGCGGACGCGTGGATCCGGAAGCGCTGCCCGCCAATGCGCACGACGTCGCCGCGGCTCAAAAGGCCCTTGAGCGAGTTGGCGACGGTTGTCACCGCCACGCGAGACCCGGCATCGACGCTGATCGTCACGGTGGGTAGTGCCACCCAGTCGCCTTGGTAGCCAACCGAGAGGTCCATGGTTCCCCCAAGGCCGACGCCATTCGTTGTCGTCATGAGCTGCCACACTTCGGGCACAAAGCCATAGGTTCCCGGCGTCACGCGCGCGCCGGTCAGCGAGACGAGGTTGCTCGCGGGCAAGAAGGGCGAGCAGACGCTGCCGACGAGCACGTTGGGCTGTGGGCCGTTGGCGAGGACCGGGCCTGTAAACGAGATCGTGTAAATGAAGCCGTGTGGCGCAGCGCCAAAGGCCGACTGCGTCACGCTGACGCCGTCAATGTTCGGGAGCTCGTTGAGCGCGAGCGCAAGTTGCGTGGCCGTCGCGTTCCATGCCACGCAGTTGGGCGACGCAAACGCGCCATGTGCATTCGTCAACGAGAGACGGTACGTACCCGACGCGATCGGTCCGTCGTTGCTACTGATCGCAAACGTCTGGACCTCTGGGATGCGCGTCGCGACGTCGACTTGGTACGCGAGCACGGGCTCGCCGTTGCTGCCGAGCGGCAGGATCCCATACGGCGGCAGCACTTGGACGCGCAGCGCCGACGTGTTCTCGGCATACGCGTAGACGTTGCTCGGGACGCTCGGGACGTCTTCCGGGTAGAAGACAGCAGCCTCGCTGCATGGCGCGAGGAAGAGCCGAAGAAGGACGAGGAGGCTCCAGGCCAGCACGCGCCTGCCCATGCGATTTGGAGACGCGACTTGATCGAGGATGGATCCGGCCGACGACCCTTCGAGCATTGCTTCCATATCCGGATACGGTCGCCGGAAACAGTACCACAAAGGTCCGCCGGGCGAGTGCCATTGCCATGAGCGATGCTGCGGCTGGTAGCGCCGCCGGGCGGCTTGTGCGCGCAGAGTGGTCGCACCTCGGCGCCCTCGCATGGCGACGAGGTTGAAGTTGGGTCTGGCTAAATGCACCCAACGTTGGACCTGGTGCCGATCGTTGCAGGCCAGTACACGTGTACAGCACGATCAACAGGCTCGTGGCATGGCAGGCACAGTCCCTGCACGCTCTCACCGGCGCGCAACACGAGCAGACACCAGCGTGGGAGGTCCATGGACAGGGAGAAGCTGCGTGCGTCTAGCCTGCATGGCGGCGCCATGGTATCCGGACGGCGGGTTCTAAATTTGCACTTGTCGGCGATGCAGCACTACCACGTGCTTGAGCGCATCGGCGAAGGCTCGTTCGGCAAGGTCTACCGCGGGCGGCGCAAGTACTCAGGCCACATCGTCGCGCTCAAGTTCGTCTCCAAGCGCGGCAAGAGCGAGAAGGACCTCAAGAACCTACGCCAAGAGGTATACTAGTATGCCACATGCCTGTCTATGTCATATCTTCCTTGGCTAGATTCACATTTTGCGGCAGCTCAACCACGCCAACATCATCTCGATGCTCGACTCGTTTGAGACCGAGGCCGAGTTTTGCATGGTGACCGAGTACGGCCAGGGCGAACTGTACCAGATCCTCGAGGACGACCGGCAGCTGCCCGAAGACGAGATCAAGAAGATCGCGGTCCAGCTCCTCCAAGCGCTCTACTACCTCCACACGAACCGCATCATCCACCGCGACATGAAGCCGCAGAATATCCTCGTGGGCACGAAGCAGCAGATCAAGCTCTGCGACTTTGGCTTTGCCCGCGCCATCTCGGCCGACACGAGCGTGCTCACGTCCATCAAGGGCACGCCGTTGTACATGGCGCCCGAGCTCGTCAAGGAGATGCCGTACAACCACACGGTCGACCTCTGGTCGCTCGGCGTCATCTTGTACGAGCTCGCGGTCGGCCGCCCGCCGTTCTACACGGATAAGATTGTGACGCTCATCCAGCTCATTGTCAAGGAGAGCGTCACGTACCCGCCGACGATGAGCGACGACTTCAGAGACTTTTTGACCGGCTTGCTCCAGAAAGACCCAGCCAAGCGCCTGAGCTGGCCCGAGATCCTCGCCCACCCGTTCGCGTGCGAGACCATCCAGCAGACGACGGCGCGCCAGGCCCTCGAAGCCCAGGTGCGCCGACTGCCCAAGTTCTTTGACGACGGCGCGCCGCCGGTGCACAAGAGCGCCGAGTGGCGACCCGTCGACCCCGAGACGGGCCAGTTGCAGCCAGTGGCGGTCGTCAACGAAACAACGGCGCGGGTCGCGCCACCGCCCATCGCGCGCTGGTCCCAGCACGAAGCCGCGTTGGCGTCGGCCGGTTCCTACGAGGCGTTTGTCGCGGCGACGCCGGCGCTCGCCGCCGATGTCACACTGACATGCACGGCCAACGATGCGCCCGACGATGAGATTCGGTGTATGCTGTACGTGCTGCACCGCGTCATGTACCACGCCTCCAAGAGCAGCAAGAACGACGCGTCGCCGTCCCTCGCCGCGCTGCGACGCGCGCTCGTCACGCACGCACCGCAGCTCGTCCTGCGGACCTCGCCCGACGTGGCGCTGCAGTTGGTGCGGACGCTTATGGTGCCGGGCCACATCGAGAATGTCGCCGCCGAGCTGAGCGCGATGCACGCCGTCCTATCGGATCCAAACTTGAGCGGCTTGCACACCAAGGCGCTTAAGTGGCTCGGGTGTCTTCTTGCCGACCATGACACCGTCGCAGGCGTTTACGCAGCGCTTCTCTCGACCCATACGCCGCTATTGCAGTGCATCTGCTCGTGTCTTGAGATTGGCGATGACGTGAGCGTCTACGCGCTCGCCGCGCTCGTCCACCCGACCGCGGGGCACGAAGCGGTGGCGTCGACGCCCTTTCCTGTCGTCGCACGCTGCCCCCGCGCCGCCATGGACGCCCTGCACGCTGCGTACCAGACCCGCATCCACACCCACACGCTGGTCGCGAACGCACTGCTGCAACACGGCCTCGACCGTCTTCTCGACGTCCTCGTGCAGCACGCAGACGATGCACATGGCGAAGCGGACGACGACGACGACGAGCAAGACGACCAGACAATGGTCGCCAGTGTGCTCAAGATCCTCGGGCACTGCGCGCGGGCGTCGGCGCCGTTTTCGAAAAAGCTCCTCCACGACCATAGCGCAACGTTGCTGCGCGTGCTCCTGGCGCCATGCGCTCACTGGAATGCGTACGAGCGGTACTTTGGCCTCGAGCTCTTGGCGGTCGCCCAGCGCCGGGGCCTTGTGTTTTCCATGGCGACGATCGTCGCCAACCATTTGAGCGACGGTGTGCACGCGGGTGTCGGCGCCGCGCTTTGCACGCTCCTCGGTGATCACATTGTGACGCCGGCGCGGACGCCGATCGTCGACGCGACGACGCTGCCGCACCTCGTCTCGCTGTTGCAGCGCCCGCCGTCCCCAGTCTTTCTTCTGGCGGTGGCATGCTTTGGGCTCCGCGCCAACGGCGCTCTCGATAGCGTCGTCATCGTGCTGTACCGCGCCATGTCGCGCCTCGTCGACGACCGCGACGTGGCCGGCCTCGAGCATTTCCTCCTCTTGCTCGACGAGTGCAACATGTGGCCGCGCCTCATTGCCCTCCTGCAAAACGACGCGCTCTCGCCGTGGGGTCTCTTTTGCCTGCTCAAGTGGCTGCGCGGGCTCACGGAGCAGCTTTTGAACGTCGGTGGGTGCCTCCTTCACCGGCATCTAACGCGGCAGGCAAGCCTGCTCCCGCAGCTCATCCGCCTCTTGGACGCGCCGACGCACATTGCAGCGCTCGCCGACTGGCCGGACGTGCTCGGCGGTGGCCCCCAAGCGGTCAAGGCGCTCGTCCATGCGGTCGTCAAGATCCTCGGCCTCCCGTTCACGTGCGCGGCAGCGTCGGAGGAGTTTTTGTTTCAGACGCAAGAGGTCGTGTACGCCTGCGACGTGCTCTCGGCGCTGCTCCGCGTTATGGACGCCCACGACCTCGAGATGGACTTGCCACTGAGCTTCCTCGCGCGCCTCGTGTCGAGCTCGCCCCACTTTAGCCTCCAGCTCGCCTCTGCCCACGGGCTTGAGACGCTCCAAGCCAAACGGTTGCTCACGTCGTCAACACCCGCGATCGTCCTCGACACGCTCGTGCTTTTGACGCACGTCGCCCGCGCATCCAAGGCGCACTACGCGGCCTTTGCGACCGCACCGCATTTGCTCGAGGACCTGCAACGTCTTCTCCTCGAGTCGGTCGACGCCGGCGTGCGCGCCAAAGCCTGCAACTGCATCGGCAACCTCTGCCGGCACTCGGGCGCGCTGTACGAGCCATTGGCGTCCGCCGGTGTCCTTGCCGCGCTCGTCGCGTGCGCGTCATCGACCGACGTGGCCGTGCGCCGGTACGCTTGCTTTGCGCTCGGCAACGCCGCCTTCCACAGCGACGTTCTCTCGAGTGTGCTCCAAGCAGCAGTGCCGCCGCTCGTGCTCGCCTTACGCAGCGCCGATGCCAAGACGCGCGCCAACGCCGGCGCGGCGCTCGGCAATCTCGTGCGGCAGTCGGCCACGTGCGTACCAAGCCTTCTGGCTGCGTCCGCGCCTGTCGCGCTCTACGACAGCGCAGTCGACGAGCTCGATGTGCCCACCGCGCGCATCCTCCTCTTCTCGCTCGGCAACCTCTGCGAGTACGCGCCATGTCGCGGCGCCTTGGCGGCGGCCGATGCGCTCTTTGTGCAGACGCTCCGCCACGTCAGCGACGAGAGCCCCGACGACGTCGTCCAGCGCAACGTCCAGCGCGTCCTCTCCAAGTGGCCGTCGCAATGATAAGATCTAATTTATACCTGTCCGTTTCGTCATCCAAGTTACGATGCGCGTGTGCGTCGCCCTCGCAGCGGCGCTCGTCCCTCTTGGTACGCTGCCACGTACTACCATGCAGCTTGGTGCAATCTCAACAGGCGGGTTGCTGCAGCTCTACGTCGTACACGGACCCCAGGCCGTCTCGCCCAGTACGCCTCGACCCCTGTGGCCGACGTGATACTACTGTGTCTACTTAGCCGCCATGTACCGAGGCGTGCAACCGCGACCTGTGCCGTGCCCGCTAGGCATGTACCGCCAGCCCGGCAATGGCCTGTCGCTCACCGAGTGCCAGCTGTGCCCGCGCGGCGTCTACGGCAAGCTGCCGGGGCTCGAGTCCAGCGCCTGCAGTGGGCCGTGTCCCAAAGGCACTTACCAGGACAGGTGCCAAGTCCTCAACAAGCACATCATCATCACCATCATCTTGACGATGGGGGCGTAGGCTGGGCGCCACGTCCATCGACGACTGCACGCCGTGTCCCAAGGGCACGTACGGGGCCACCGCCGGCTTGACGACGCGGGCGTGCACGGCGCCGTGTCCGTACGGCACGTACAGCATGACCGAGGGCCTCACCGCCGCGTCGAGCTGCACCCCGTGCGAACCCGACTACCGAGGCCCCAACGGCCACCGCGGCAACAACGTCAACAGTGCCAACGCCGGCGGCTACGTCTGCGACCGGTACTATACGGACGTCAATCGCAAGAAGATCGCGACCGGCAAAGACGCTGCGCGCAAGAAGCAACGGCTCGCGCAGTACGAATGAATGACGTAATCGACTTAGATCTTGTACAAGTCGGTTTTGAACACTTGGGCGACGCTGGCCTTGGCGAGGTCGCTGTCGTCGAGCAGCAGGTGCGAGAGGATCGCGTGCGCGCGCGCGCTCGAGCAGTACACGAGCATGTCGCCGAGCGACACCATCGCCGCTTCGCGGAGCCCGACCTTGGTCGACGAGAGGCACGCAAGGTACGCCTCGGTCGCCGCCGGGGCACACGCAGCATCCGCGTGCATCGCCAGCAAAAGGCATTGGCACAAATGCCCCACCGCCTTCTTGCTCAGGCTGGCGGGTTGCGCGACCGCGTACTGTACGAGCGCTGGCAGCACCGACGTGCGCGCGCTGCTCGCATAAGTGGCCTCGAACGACGCCTGAACCTCTTCGAGGGTTTGCTCCACGTCCCGGATCGGCGTCTACGTCAACAAACGTTGGCACCACAAGCAAAGACGACGCGGACCTCGCGGGGTAGCACAAGCGGCGGTACGTGCGGGACCATGCCCTCCGAGCACTGGCCCGACTCGACGCACGTGGAGAGGACCGGAAACGCTGACGCGTCAGAGGCGGCCAGCGCCGTTTTCCTAAGCAACGACCATTTGTACGTATTGCGGCAGAGTGCACACTACCAATGCGCGCGGTACGGAGCAGACGCAAGGTACGGGGCCATGGCCTCGGGCTGCGCATACACAAGGAGCTGCATGGTCTGCAGCATGCGGAGCGCGATAGGGTGCGCGCCGCCGCGGTCGTCGTGCTTGGTGACGGCGCTCAAGAGGTACAGCAAGGTCTGCACGAGCTGCGTCAAGAGCGCACGTCGCCCGAGCACCAAGTCTTTCGTCACGTCCACCAGTAGCAGCACCTAACCATCGTTAGACCTTGTCGGACACGCTGTATCCTACGTTCTCGACCACATGCATTTGATCGTGCAGGAGGTGCCACGGCTGCCCATGCAGCATCGCGACAACCGACGTGACTTTGACGACGGCGAGCAACGGGTGCAAAAGGCCGGTGCGGCGCAGCACCGACCGGGTTTCCTTTGTGGCGGCGCTCGAGAGCGCGGCGTCGAGTTTCGCCTCGAGGAGCGCCCCCGCGCCCCGCATGTCGAGGTGGGTCACGGCTGCCAACGCTTGTGGCCAGCCAGGAAAGCACGTGTCCAAATGCATCGCCACCGTGTGCGGCTCGCGTCCGTACAAATCCTACGACACCTCAGCACATAGCAACCGTAGACTGACGAACCAAGAGGAAGGCGTGGGCGACGGGCTCGGTCGCTGCATCAAAGCACGAGTCCATGAGCCGCTGGAGCACGAGCACAATGCTGCAATGGTTTACAAACGCCAAGTGCGCGACGAGCGCCAAGCGCGACGGCGACACGTGCGTGCGGTTCACCAGCGTCTGTTCGTGCAGCACGAGATGCAGAAGCGGCTCGAGCATGGCGTCGGCCTCAATGTGCGCCACGTTGGCGCAGACGTGGTCGAGAAGGACACCGACAAGCGGCGCGCTCGTCCATGGCGAGTCGAGAAGCGTCGACAAAAGATGGCTGCTCGCAGTGGGGACGGACGCGAGGACCGTGCGGATGAGCGACACGTTCTGGCTCGCGGCGAGCGCGCGTCCCAGCGCCGGAATGAGCGTCGAGTTGGTCGACGCCAGCATGGTGGTCCACTCGACGATTTCGTTGGCATGTGTCCCGGCTGCGATCCAAGCACATATCACATCGTTGGTCTCGATTGTCGGCAACGCGGCCCGGCGGGGCGCGCGGCGGCGGGGCGCCACGTCCATCGACGCAAAGAGGTCATCGAGCGACGGCGTCGGCGCCAGTGGCGTCAATGGCGGCGTTCGGCGACACGGCACCACCGCGGGCGGCAAGGGCTCGGTCTCGTCGACGTGGGCCGCGTCGCGAAGCCAGCGCAGAAGCACTTGGCAGGCGTCGCTGGCCGCCACGTCCGCATACGACGGTTGGCGCACATACATATCCAAATGGTCGAGCGCGTCGGCAGCGGCGTCCGACAGAATCGGGCGGCAGGTGCACTGCAAAAGGGCAGCGGCACACGTGCTATCGTCGCGCATAAGGTGCGCCGCAAGCACGTCGAGTTGCAGCCCCATCGAGCGCGGCGACCGCCCGTACGAGAGGAGCAGGTGCCAGAGCGACGGTACCGACATGGTTCGAATCGCCGCTTGCATGAGCCGGTCATTGTCGACGCAAGCGAGACGCGTGAGGTGGTCGGCCGAGCACGCATACGTCGTTTGGCTTGGCGAGAGCAAACCAGCGTCGGTCTGGGTCGGAAAGAAGGCGTCGATGAGCGCCATGTAGTCGTCTTGGAGGCTGCTCGGGAACGCCACGGGGCTGCTGAGGACCTCGACGACGCCCGACACGATCGTCGGCGGCAGCGCCAGCGTCGACCCCGTGCTCGTGAGGAATGAGACCCACCCGGCCGGGATATCCGTCGTTCCAGAGGCGACGCGGACAGCGGCTGAGAGCGTTTCAACGACGCGCGTTAGCATCGCCACGTCCTGGAGCAAGAGCCGGGCCACTGACGTGCGCTGGGAAAGGAGCCGGCCGACCGCCTCGGCGAGCTGGAGCTCCAAGTCCTTCTTCGCAAAGAGATCGTAGAGCGCATTGAGGCAGCGCTTGAGGCCGTCGATCGACGACTCGTGCGCCAAGACGTTCTCGAGCGACGAGAGGACGCGCGCATGCAGCGCCGGAAACGACGGCAGCCGCGTCAACGCTGCGAGCCAATCAAACTGGATCGAGTGGTGGCTAATGAGCGCGCTCGCGTCGCCGTCGGTCGTGAGGAGCCCGAGCACGTGCGACGAAATGCGGCGCGTGTCCATGTTGGCCGACACGAGGCGGTCCAAAAAGAACGAGAGCACGTCGATGGCTTCCTCCGTTGTCCCGGCCATGGCGTCCTACGCACACAAGATATGGTTCTGCGCGTCCATAGACAAGAAAGGGACCTTGAGTCGCGTGAGCAAGCGGGGCACTTGGTGCGTGAGCAGCGACGCGTGCGCAAACTTGGCGGCCTCGGGGATCGACCGAACGTCGACGTACGCAAGAAGCAGCAGTTCGCAGAGGCACTTGCGAGGCAGATACGTGAGTGTCTCTTGCTCGTCGCAGACGATCTCAACGATCCACCAGATCTGCTCGGGCGCCTCGGACCAGCTCGCCGCGCCGCCGGCCACAGTCACGTCGACCATGTTCATGAGGAAGTCCGAGTCGCGGCTTTGGCGCAGCCGGACGCCAAGCCGGAGCGCCTTGTCGAGCGCCTCGACCTTGCGCAACGTGTCGGGCGGCGGGCACCGCGCCATCGCATCCGGCGGCATCGACACAAGCAGCGTACCGTCTGTCAAAAGCTGCTGGCTCTGCAGAAACGGCAGTTCCCACTCAGTATACGCTTGGTTGATCGCGACAAGGCTGCCGTGCCCCATCACCTCGGGGCCAAAGAGCTTGGGATCTTCGGGCTCGACGGGCGGGAAGCGGAACCGGCCCGTGATGGCCATTTGCATGAGACAGCGCATGGTCGGGATCGCCGACCAGATTTCAGCGCCAATCGTCGACGGCGAGAAGACGCCGAGGACGAGCAAAATGGCGCAGCTGAGCCAGTAGAGCTCGGCGTAGCTCACTGCCTTGCCCTCGTACGTGTGGCCGCGCACGACACCCGCTTCGTACAAGTGCAAGACAAAGTCCGTGCGCGAGATCTGTAGCCCAAGGAGACCGCCGGCCGCCACGTAGTCGTGCAGCTGATGCGCCGTCGGGCCTTGAAAGTAGCTTTCCCGCACAAGGTGGCCCTCGGCAGCGCGCGTGACAAGCGTATCGAGCACCTTGAGGAGCTCGTGGGCGTCGGTCGGCGCGACGTAAAAGCAGAGACCAACCATACCCGCCACCGTAACTTCGTGGAGCGGCAGCATGTCCTTGCAGAACGCATAGCACGCGCGGTCGTGCTCGGTCGCCTACAGAGAGGATAGTTCCCAGCCTATGCTGTCAAACGCGCGTACATTGCCGTCGGGGGCCGCATCCAAAAACAGAATCTTGCGCATGACGGCCGAGAAGAGCCGCATAATGTCCCCTTGCAGCTGCTGGTAAACCTCGTGGCACCAGTTGACAGCCATGCGCTGGACGTCGGCAATGAGCTGCGCGAGCTCCTCCTTGGCGCGGAGCGAAGGCGTAATCACGCTCGGTGCCGGCGCACTTGGCGCCGCTTCCTTCTTGCGCGGGTTGTTGACATTCAGAAGGCGTCGTGCCGGCTTCTCGGCCGCGTTCTTGGAGAGCAGACCGCCCATGCGCACGCTCGACGACGCCGACGTGTCCGGTACCGACACTTGCAGGCTCTTGACCGTCGTCCCCTGTAGAAAGAGCACGAGCGAGACAAGGTCGCCCATGACGAGGTAGAGCTCCATGGACCCGTGGGGCGGCAGCGTGAGGAGGCCGGCGCAGAACGCGCGAACGTCCAGCTGGTCGGGGTTGAGGCTCTTGAAGACCTTGCGCAGCGTGTTCTTGAGCGTCGGGAGGTTGCTCGGGACTGCAGCCATCTCTTGGAGCACCGCGGCCAACGCAGCACTCGACTCGGTGCCCGCGTGCAGCGCGTTCGGCCGGCGAAACATGCGCGCGTCGTCGGCCTCGTCGCGCTCGACCGCGCGCGCCGTCTCTCGGAAGATGAGCGGCATCATCTTGAGGTTGTCGACGTCCTTGACCGTCGCGCCGAGCCGCTCTTTTGCAAGCACCACCTTCATCGCGATGGCCACGTACTCGGGGCGCTGCCGCACGAGCGTCGAGAACACTTCGGTCTTGAGCTGCGGAAACGACACAGATTTGAACTTCATGTTGAGGAGGTTCTCGACCGTCTCCATGTCGTGTCGTTCCAGCGTCGTACAGGCCTAGCATCATATTTGAGATATGGCGATTGAGATTGAATTTGAGATGTATACCCGCGCGCACTTGAGCAAGAGCTCCCGCGCCAAATTCTTGTACGTCGTGTTGGCAAACCAGATGTCGAGGTTCGACGACGCGACGAGGCGGCCTTGCGGCAGCACCGTGAGGTCCATGAGCGTCAGCATGACCTGCTTGAGGCTCGTCGACGGCGCATTCCCCGGTCCTTGCTTCTTGATGTCGTTGAGTTTCGAGAGCAGGTGCTCCATGATGAGGCTCGACACGTCCTTGGAGAGGTGCTGGGCGGCCATCTCGGCCTTGAGCAACGTCAGAAAAGGCGCGCAGAGCTCGTGGTCGACCCACGCGCGTGAGTTGAGCGAGTCGTCGACAAACACCTTGACGCAGTCGTCAGGCCATGCAAACGTCGAGGACGCAGCCATGGCGGCCTTGAGGATCTTGGCCAAGAGGTTGGCAACGAGGACAGCCAATGTGATGGCCTTGACCGGCTCCTTGGTCGTCGGCTTGGTCGCGAGCGACGCGCTTGGCTTTGTCGGCGGCTTCTTCTCGAGCGACCCGGACCGATCGCGCTGGAATTTGCTCCGAAGCATGCGCATGAGCGCTTTGAGAATGTTGGGCGACTGGAACTTGAGCGGCGAGGCGCCGACGGCCGTGAGAAAAGCCAGCGAGAGCTCGCGGCCCGGCGCGTCGCCTGTCCGCGCGAGCTGTCCTAGGCTCCCGTTGATGAGCTGCAAGAGCTGCTCTTCGTCTGTCTCGGTCTCCAGCAGCACACGGAGGTCCTCGTCTTCGTCGTCGTCGGGGTCGTCGTCGCCGCCGTCGTGGTCCGGCTCGGGCGCATCGTCAGGCTCGGCCGGCGCTTGCGGAGGCGTCGGTGGCGGTGGCGGTGGCGGGTCCTTCTCGGGCGTCTTCTCCTCTTTGGGCGGCGGAGGCGGCTTGGCTTTCATCGGACTCGGCTTCGTAGGTTGTTCTTCTTTTTTCGCCGGACGTTTTCGCTTTCCTTCGGCTTCGACCTTGGCGTCGACGACCTCTTCCTCGTCGTCGTCCTCTTCCTCTTCGTCCTCTTCTTCGTCGTCGTCGTCGAGGTCCTCGTTGGCGTCCGACCCATCTTCCTCGGATGGCTCGTCCTCGTCCTCGTCGTCCGACTCGTCGTACACAACGCGACGCATGCGCGCAGCGCGGACTGTCTTGGGCGCGGTCATCTTCTGCGTGGCCACCTTGGCCGCCGTACGGAGGCTCTCGCCCCGGGCTGTCGTGCTTCGCGTTGGTCGGCCGGGTGCCATCGCAGCCCCATACAAAATTTTGGCGGCGTTGCCAAAAGGAGGTCGACTACAAACACCCAACTTTATCCATGCGCCAGCAATCATTGAGCATAATCGAAACATGAGATTCGATGTCAAGCAGCTCGGCTGGCGCAATGGATAGCGTATCAGACTTCGAATCTGGGGGTTGCGGGTTCGAGTCCCGCGTCGAGTAATATTTTTGCCGATTTCTTTTTAAGTGGCGTACGACTAGACTGTGCGATGACTGATGGACTGCCTCACAACGTCCCCGGTCCCACTCCATCGCTGTCAAGGGCAATTCCCCTTGATCGTAGTCGCCGACTGATTGCAGCCAAAGGCATGTGGCACCGATGCGAGCATGGAGAGGTAGAAGGCGCCTTTACCTGGTTACCGCGAGCGTGAAGGCGCTCGAAAGTTGGTCCGCTGGCAAGATCGTGTAATTTTGTAGTGTATCCGGATGGGCTCCAAAGATTTGCGGCAAAGTCACTAGAGCGATGAACAGCCAGATCCTCCGCGTCGGCGACGCGCTCACGACGCTCTTCCAGCAGGCACAGGACGGCAACAGCACGCGCTGCTTGGACGTCAAGGTCGAGAACGAGACGCTCGTGTGTGCGACGGCCTTTCCCGTCGATGAGGCGCCCGAGGCCCAGTGGGCGAATATCCAAGCGTCGACGACGGCGCCGAGCCTCCTCCTCTTCCACATTGCGAGCTCCAACGGGCCGTGGAAGTGGATTCTGATTGCGCACGTGGCCGACACGCTGCCGGCGCGTGAAAAGATGCTGTACGCCTCGGCGCGCGACTGCCTCAAGCAGCAGCTCGGCCTCTCGTACTTTGTCGGCGACGTGCACACGACCGACCTCGCGGCCTTTACCTTCCACGACGTGCTCTCGACCATGCACAACAACTCGGGGCCGCTCAGCGAGAAGGAGGTCTTGCTCAAGGAAGAGGCGCGCCTCGAGCGCGACCTCTCGGTGAAGGCGAGCGCCATGTCGGTCATGCCTTTTGGGCTCACGCCCGCCTGCGCTGCGGCGCTCGACACCTTTGCCATTGCGACGTCGCCGGCCTTTCTGAGTTTGCACCTCGAAAACGAAGCGCTTGTCGTGGCGAAAGCGCTCCCAAACGTCCACGAGAGCCTCCTCAGCAGCGAGATGACCAAGCACGCGCCGAGCTACGTCCTGTACCGCGTCTCGTCGACCGGCGTCGTCTTCTTGTACGTGTGCCCCGACGACGCGCCGGTGCGCGCCAAGATGACGTACTCGACGGCAAAGGCGTCGGTCCTCGCCCTCCTCCCGGCCCATCACATTGCCATTGACAAGACGGTACGAAATAGTATGACCTTGTATGCTGGCGAGCCATGGGTGCTGAGTAGATTGAGATCACGGACGTGGCGACAGTGGCCGACGCCATTCGCGCCGACGTGGCGACGGACCTCGACGAGGCGACTCTGGTGCAGCCCAAGGCGTTTGCACGCCCAGCGGCGCCCGGCCGCGGCCGCCGAAAGTAACAAACCAAGTCGCATGTATCGTGCATGTACATTGAATCGCACGCGTATATACACAGGTGGTTTATCTACGGCCCTTCTTCTTGCCCTTTTTCTTACTGCTCGCGGCGGCGGTCGCCGGCGCACCGGTCGTCGCGGCCTTGGCGGCTTCGAGTTCGCGGGCCAAGCGGTCTTTTCGGAGTTGGAGCTTCGGGATGAGCTCGCCCATCTTGAGCATGAGGTCCTTCCGCGTCCGAATCTCGGCGTGGAGCGGGTTGCGATTCGCATCGACGAGCTTGACGCGGACGCGGCCAGGCACGAGAAAGTCGCGCGAGTACGCCTTGTACGGTTCCGTGACGTGGTCGAGCTTGAAGTAGCGGCAGACCTCGGCCATCTCTTCGACGATCGGGCGGTCGCACGACATGGCCTTGGGGATGCGGCGGCCGTCGGCGTTCGTCTTGCCCGAGTCGATGTAGTTGGGGTAGAACGTCGCCCAGCGCGAAAAGTCCGTGCCGTGTGCAACGCCGCTGCCGTAGATCGCAGCCTCTCCTTGGGGCATGCCCATCATACCGGCCATACCGTCCATGTCCGACTCGTCCATTCCCGGCGGCATGAGGCCGGCCATACCCGGTGGCATGAGGCCGGCCATACCCGGCGGCATACCCATACCAGGCATACCGCCCATGCCGCCCATGCCGGGCATGCCGGGCATACCGCCCATGCCGGGCATACCGCCCATGCCCATGGCGTTCATGGCCTGGAGCATGCGCTCGGGGGTCATACCTGCGGGCACGGGCATGCCCATCGACTTCATCATGTTGGTCATGCCTTCCATCTGGGCGCGCTGCTCGGGCGTCATGCCGCCGCTGCTAGATGTTGTGGGGCGGCGGACCGGGACTGCGTTCGTGTCGTAGACCTCGCCTGCGACGTTGGGCTTGGCCGAGCCCTTGGGCTTGCGGTAGGACATGGTCGACCTCTCGAGTGAAAAAGACTTTGTTTTTTGTATCGCCAGCCACGAACACCATTATCCGGATACAGCCGACACCACGTCACCAGCGACAGCGAAGCCGCGTCAAGGCCCGGTCGTTGACAGCTCGCTAACAGTGCTCACGCCCAGCACAGTGCTCCGTTGCTACCGCAGCAACAGTACGGTACTGCCCTGATGTCGACGGCCCTTGTCATGGGTTGTGCTCATCATTCTACTTTGGGGAAGGAAGGCGTCCCGCTGGCCGCCACCACCAAGTTCTTAGCCTTCACCACTGATGCCAATCGTGTGCTCTGTGGCCTTCGTGTCGATGACACAGTATAACATACCTATTATATATAGTGTAACTTCTCTAACAAGCAGTTTACTCCTCCGAGAGACCCATGTTGACTTCGCCGTTGAAGATCGAGCCGGCGGCCGCAAAGCGCTGGCTCTGGATGTGCTGCAGCTCCGTCATGCGCTGGAGGAAGATGGGCTCCTGCTGGTACTTCATCATGGCGGCCTGCAGGATCTCGCGCGAGAGGCCGTGCTGCTCGTGGATCTGGGCGCTGAGCTGGTCGGCCTTCTTGACGTAACGCTCGTTGATGGCCTCCTCCTTGTCCTCGGGGTCGAGGAGCTTGACCTCCTGGCACACTTCCTCCATCGCGACGTTGAGGGATTCCATGGTTTCTTCCATGATGATCAGGAACTTCTCAAGCGTGAGGTCCTCCGGAACTTCGACGTCGGCAGCACCGGCGCCCGTGATCAGGCGGTAGAGCTCCTGGAGCTTGCCGACGGCGGCGTGGACTTCCGGGTCCTCGACCGACTCGTAGTACTCGGTGGCAATGCGCACCTCGTCTTCCGACGTGTTGTGCTTGCTGTAGGCCTGGGCTTCAATCGCCTTCATGGCCTCCTCGAATTGGCCCATGAGGTACGCGGCAAGCTGGTCCTCCGGGAGCGAGCGGCCGCTCTGGGCCGACTCCTGGCGGATCTTCTGCTCAATGTTGGCGAGCGAGAGCACAATCTGGCCCATCTGCGTCGAGATGATGGTCAAGATCGACAGGAGCTGATCCTTGGGGAGCGACGGGAGCGACGCCGAGGGCGCGACCGGCGCCGCAATCGAGCGCTCGCCAGCCTCTTCCTTGGTGGCGTTCGACGATTCCTACAGAGCGTCGCATGAGCCATGATCGTCCTTTAGATCTTATTGCCATACCGAGTTGTTGGACTGCGCCTTGAAGAGGAAGAAGAGGGCGACGACCGAGGCCGCGATGGCGCCGAGGACGAGGGGCTTGGACATGGCAGACATTGCAGCGAACCGGGAATGAATTGCTCGATGGAGGCCAAACAAAGAAATGTATCACAGCCAATGGATTCGCGAGCTCAGGCCGCGGCCGGCTAGGGGCCAATTGTCCTTAAAACCAGGTACTACCTCGCGTTTACGTCCCTCGACATGATATATAGTCGTTCAAGCGAGGGACAGGGCAGGCAATTCCTGCCGAACCGACCCGAAAGCCCCCCGTTATCCGGATTCGGCGGACCCTGTTTTTGTCGCCGGGCAGGAAACTAAACAAAGACACGCCACCGTCGACAGCATGCACATGGTCTACAGCTGGGACAGCCAGCTCATACTACAAGCTCTCTGCCACCGCGATGCAGTGCTTCTGAAAGCTCGCTCGCTCGTCCTCGCCAAGACACTGTTTGATTACAGCGTACTAGTACTTGCAACGGCTTCTAGCTCAGTTGAAGTTGCTGGCGGTGTACGTCGTGGCCGGAAAGGCGGGCCGAGACAGGTCGCGGCCGCATGGAAAGGAGGTCGCAAACGTCGCTAAGAACTGAGCTGCAACGAAGAGGGTGTGATCGTGCAAGTGTATATCGAGGCGCTGATGTCGGCCGTTGAAGTCGATGGCAGGCGCCGTTGGACCAGCCACGAGCTGGCGCATGATGATAGCGTTCAGCAGTGCACCCAAGAACCAAGTAGCCACGACACGTGCGACCGGGCAACACGCTCGCAATGGCTATACTGATGTGTGCGAATTCCACGTGGCGTATCCGGATGACCAAATCTTCGCGATGGATCTTGGGGCGCCGGTGGCCAAGGTGGACTCACGGACGGAGGCGCCACGGGACGACGATGCACCACCGCGATACCTTACGCGCGCCGACGCTTTCACCAGCGTCTTCCAGAGTGTCGTCAAGCCTGCAGTAGCGGCGCCATCGCCCGCAGCAGCTTCGCCGTTCGCCGAGTCGCTGGTCGTGCACATCCACCCGAGCCAGAGCGGCAACCCGCTCGTCAAGCTTCTCCACAACGTCATCCCCGAGGTGAACCCGGACATCACGTCCGACTACATGATGGGCGAGGCGTGCGTCGCATGCTTCCTCAGCGTGCGCTACCACATGCTGCACCCGACGTACCTCAAGAGCAAGCTCGGGCGCGTCAAGCCGGCGCGCGTCCAGGTTGTTGTGTGCCACGTCGACGTTCCCGACAACGAGTCAGCGCTCAAGGAGATCAACCGCGACGCGCTCGCCTGTGGCTTTACGCTTCTCCTGGCGTGGAGCTGGAAAGGTACTCACTGGGTGCTAGCCTCGCTCATGATGCATCAGAGGCGGCGCGGTACATTGAGACGCTCAAGAGCTACGAGAATCGACCGGCGACGCTTATCAAGGAGAAAGTTGAGAACGACTACAGCGCGCAGCTGGCCGACGTGCTCACAGGCGTCCGGTCGATCAACAAGACCGACGGTACGCGGAAGCGGCATGCTCCGCGCTCATGCTATCGTTCTAGTCGTCACGCTCTCGAGCAACTTTGGCTCGGTGCAGCGGCTCATGTGCGCGACGGAAGACGAGCTGGCGCTGTGTCCCGGCATCGGTGGCAAGAAGGTCCAGATGCTCCTCGAGGCATTCAACACGCCCTTCCACGCAACCAGTTAGACGCCACGCAATGGTATTATAAAATCACTTTCTCTTTCGCAACTCTTGTTCTTGCTGGCTGGCCAAGTTGGCCTGCAACTGCGCTGCCAGCTGCGCTTGCTTGAGGGCTTGCGCCTGCGCGGCCATGTCGGTCTGCTGCTTCTTCTGTTCCGCGAGCTGCTCCTGCTCGGCCATGTGGTTGATGAACTGGACGGCTTGGGCAAAAATGCTCTCGCCCCAGTTGTCGTTGGGCTGGAGCGCCTGGGCTTCTTCGCGCACCTCCTTGATCTCTTCGGCAATCATCTCTTCCGCGAGCTTGAAGCTCATAAACGGACCGTCCTTGATCAGGTCGTTCTGCTTCAAGCGCTGCATGCCCTGCGCTTCGGTCTGAATCTTGCGAATGAGCGGAATGTCGGCCACCGCCCGGCGAAAGAGCGCCGAGCACACAATCTTCATGTCTTCTTCGCCCAGCGTCGCGGGCGCCTTCTCGCGGATCGCACGGTACTCTTCGACCTGCGGCGGCAGCGAAAAGTCAAAGCCGTTGATCATCTCGTCGAGGACGTCGTCGCCCTCGAGCACCTTCTTCGGGCGCAACACCTTGATGACCGAGATGACGAGGAAGACGGCGGCGACGAAGACGCCCGCGGCCACATACTCGACTGCCGAGAAGCCCATGGATTACGTATCGACTTGGGCCACAAAAAATTGCGTTTGATTCGAACCGCCCCCGCAAACGTGGCCGAGGATTGCACCAATCGCAGCGCACCACTTGGCTGCTCGAATTCGACGCCTATCCGGCTCATCCGGATACCATACCACACCATTAACGTTTCTTCGTGGTAGAAACTTTGGTATATAGTGTTACTTCAACATGACGACGTGCGAGAAATGAGAGAACGCACGCACCTGACCTCGCGCCGCCAGCCGCCGGCGCCATCCTATATGCTCGGGATATGTATAGACCTAAGGTAGCGTCGAGCAGCCAATATCCTCCAGTAGCCCTGGACCGAGCTTGGCGTTTGGCGCTAGTATCCGGACGGTTCGTTATCCGGCGGCGGAAGGATCGCGGATCTTGCAAGGCTTCAAGCGGATGGCCCATCGCGACCTGACGGCGCGGTTCCTTGACCGACGGCTCGTAGCGCAGCGCCGCCAGACGCATGGCACCATGCGCTACAGTGGCGGCAAGCCATATGCAGCGGCCAAGACCTCGCAGGTACGAGCGCGTCGGCAGCAGCATCGAGTCATGGCGCGATAGTAGCCCCTGCAACCGACCGACATGGAAGCAGGCTCAGGCGCGCCAAAGCCCGCATGGACGCGCGCCGTCGACTTGGCCAACGAATGCACAGCGCAGCTGCAGCTCAAGCGTACGTGGCCCGCCATTCGACGAGGTCATCATGGCATGCCCTAGTCGACTATTTGCAAAAGATGCACACGCGCCGCCTTATGGTTCGCTTTGACGAGTCCGAGAAGCAACATGATATCGACATTGACAGCATAACGCAAGAGATCTCCAAGCTCTTCCACAGCGCCGAGTCTGCGCTGCAAAAAGTCACGCGCGAGCCGTTGACTGCCTCGGGGTTGACATCACCCGCCGAGCGCAACGTGCGCGTCAACGTCCAGCGCTCGTTGGCGAGCAAGCTGCAGGAGCTCTCGAGTCGGTACCGCCGAAGCCAGCGCGAGTACATGGAGACCCTGCGCTCGCAGCGCAACGTCTCGGGCGACGTGTTCCAGTGGGACGCGACGGGGCATACGAGCCAGGCGATGGTATCGTCGTCGTCTATCTTTGATTGTATGGTCATGCAGCGCGGCTTTAGTCACAGCAGCAGCACTTGCTACATCTGGGCGAAGACGAAGCCATGATCCAAGCCCGCGAGCGCGAAATTCAGAAAATCGCCAAGGCGATTGTGGAGCTCTCGACAGTTTTCAAGGACCTCGCCAACATGGTCATCGACCAGGGCACGATCATCGACCGCATCGACTACAACATGGAAGACGTACGACAACTATAAAATACTGTGGCCAACGCGGTTCGTAGGTCGTAACGCGCGTCCATTCGGGGCTCAAGGAACTCCATCGCGCCGAAAAGTTCCAGTACAATACGCGGCCGACGCGCTGCATCTACCTGCTGTTGAGCCTCATCTCTCTCTGCTTTATGATCCTCCTCATGAAACACGCGACGCCGTACGTGGAATATTGACACAGCTAAAGCGCTTACTCTGATTTTGTTCGTCCTGTGTCGATCCAGCCTACTCACAGAAACTCATGCCGCAAAGTGTCAAGCCCAGATCAGTGCTCAGCGACTGCGCACGAGCGACATACAGACACGTACGACGCCAGTGCTTCAAGAGGTTTACGGTAGCTTCTTCTCGTACACGAGCGCGTTGGTCGCGGGGTCGACGCCAAAGATCTCGACGAACTCGACCTTGGGGAGGCCCCAGCTCGTGGTCGACTGCACGTAGACGCGCTCGAGGTACACGTTTGGCCGGCCGTTGATCGTCGTCCGCGCGCGCACGTGGTGGCCGTCGTGCAAGAGCACGATCGCGCGGTCCTTGAGCGACGCGAGTGCCACGTCGTACTCGTGGGGCGCGGCGCCAGGTGAGCATGTTGCACCATACGCAGTGTTGCGCTCAATCATGTTGAGCTCTTCGGTTGGGTACGGCGGGCCTTGCTGCGCGTACATGATCCAGTAAATGTGCAGCGGGTTCTTCGGGTCGAGCCGCGACGCGCTGCCGAGATTGCCCTTGTACACGACGGTATTCGCATTCTACGCACACAGTTCTTAGCGCGGAGAGGCCATCGCACACGCACGTTGCTTCGCTGGATGATAAAGGCGGTCGACGGGTCGACTCCGCGGACTTTGGTCAGCTCTGGATTGCACGGCAGCGGCGTGGCTTCGGGCGTTGCGGCAGGAGCGACTTCGGCTTCCGGCTCGGGCACGCTTGTCGACGGTCTACGCAACACGTGTGTGGGCGCAGGTCGTTGATAGATAGCGTACGCATCGCTCGGCGGCGGCGATGGCGCTGGCTCAGCTGCGGGCTTCGGCTTGGACGACTTGGGCTTCTTCTCCAGTGTGCCGTTCAGGAACGCCTCCTTGCTCGCAAGTAGTACATCGACTTCAAGCATCTCGCGGGCGAGCGCTTGGCGGCGCTGGCGCAGCTCCTCGACCTCGTCCCGCAGATCCTGCAGGTGCTGCTGCTTCTCCCGGCGCAGGGCGCGCTCTAGCGCTTCGATCGTCGCCTGGCGCTCGTCGAGCTCGCTCTGGAGCGACTGCACGACGAGGTTGGCCTGGTCCACGGTATCGTCGGCGCCCCAGATCCAGCTACTCATGGCGGCTTGCTGTCTTTAGCGCAAGAAAAGTGCCACCGCGTGACACGTCGCGACCGAGCTCTGACTTTGCACCACACTATTTGCGTAAACTTGTTTAGTGTAAGGCTTTTGGCGCCACATCGAGTTGTGTTTGGCAGGCGGCCATCCACTTCCATCGCTTCTATACCATGTCCTGCAATGCTACCTCGCCGCTGAGGAGGACGGATGCCGGCTCGTCCTTGCCACCGCGCAGAAGCGACGGTCGCCGCCATCTATGCAGCCGTCAGTGATGGCTTGTGGATGGGGCGATCAGTGTTTGCCTACATCGACCCTTTACCGTCCCATCTCAAGCACCGCCAACGGCAAATGCAGAGCTTGACGAACTCACCCACTAGGCCGTGATGACGAGACGCTTCACGGTCCTCGGCAGGTCGGGTCGCAGAGAACACCTCGGATCACTTCTGCATATTTGTAGCATACCACAGGCTCTCCTGAGTCAGAGCCACCGGTCAGCTCGAATCAATTCCCTTGGCTCGAATAGTCCTTGTCTGGTCCGTTGTCTGAATCGAGTACATGTCTGGAATGGGATGCCACGTTATGATTTCCGTTGTTCCTCGCGCTTCGTGTGGATGTTACCACATCTGGTGCGCTCGCAATTCAGATTATTGACCAATCCTAGGCCGTGGATGCGTCGCGAAGTCTCGCTACGGCATGGGATTGGCTAAAATCTTGGTCGGCGCATTTGCCAGCCATTTCCGTATTTGCCATGTCCGAGTTCTTCCGCCGTGCGCTCTCGCAGCTGCTGAACGAAGCGGCCGTCAAGTCGCTCGCCAACAACAAGTCGTTCCAGAACTTTGCGCTCAAGACGCACCTCCACGTGGAGAAGACCAAGGCCGCCATGAACAACCTCGACGTCGACAAGGTCGCGGCCGCCACCAAGAGCCTGCCGAACGTCAACAAGTTCACCGAGTTTGCCAACGCGGTCAAAGCAGAGCTACAGAAGGACGTGCGTAAATTCAAATAGAAGCGTCTTGGCATCTTAGTGGCGACCGACGTCGGCCGAGATGGCTTCAAACACGAGCCGGCGCCAGAGCGACACGACGAACGGCTCGGCATCGGCGTCCAGGACAGGCGAGAGACCGTCGATGAGCGTCGATGGCGTCGCATGATTTGTGAGCTGCGTCACGATGAACGTGACGAGCGACGCGTCGGCCTCGCCGAGGTACTCGGCCACCTTCTTCTCGACCCACGGCGCCATCTTGGCGGCCACGACGCCATGCTATGCGTGCGAGCATGACACGCTGGGACCGAGACGAGATCAAGTACCTTGTCGACGGCGGCCCAGTCGAGCGGGTACTTGAAGAGCCCCGTCGTGTCCTTGGGAATGCGCTCGACAATGCTCTTGGGGTCGTTCGTGCGGCTGTTGATGCGCGCCACGGACCGCGCCACCTAGTGCAAGCATGACGCCGACGACGAGAGGCGCGGACGACGTACTTGGGCGTCAATGAGCGCTGCGCGGCGCTCTTCCTCCGAGTAGTCGAGCGGGACGTACGCCCGCTGCGGCTTGAGTTCCTCGTCGTCTTCGACTGCAAAGACGGGCGTTGACGCTGTGGCCGCGGTCGCCTTGGTGTCTTTGGACTCCTTCTTGGCGTTGAGTTTGAGCTCAATCTTCTTGAGCGGCGCAAACGGTTTCGGGGGCGGCGGCGGCGGAGGCGGCACAAAGGCGGGGACCGTAGGCGTCGCGATTGGCTCGGGCTCCTTCGTCTGCGGAAGGCGCGGCGAGTCCTCGGCGCTGTTGCGGCGGTCGCGACGTCGGTCCCGGCTGCGATCGCGACTGCGAGACCGACGGCGCGTGCGCTCTCGGCTGCGGCTGCGCGACCGGCGGCGACTGTCCCTGCGATCCCGGTCCCGGCGGTCTCGGCGCCCCGTGGATCGGGACCGGTCGCGCTCGGGCTTCTTCTCTTCCGGCGCGGGCGGCGTCGTCGCTTCGGCACTAGGCAGTCGCGTGAGCCTCGCGTCGCACGTGCAAGAGAGTGCGTACGCGGCCGCCTTTTCCTTGTCTTCCTTTTCTTGCCGAAGGCGCTCCTGCAAAGAAGGTATGAGCGTCCTGGAGAGACAAGATGGTTACTTGGATCATCTTGAGCCGCTTGGCTTCCTGCTGCTGCGTCCGCTCTTCCTGCGCGAGGCGGAACTTTTCAACTTCGTTCATGATCATCCCTCCGCGCACTTGCTCCTTGACTAGCATCGCCATGAGCACTAAAGGCGATCACGCTTGGTACCTTCGGGCGCGTCGACGCTCACGAGGTCGCCCCACGACGCAATGTCATTGTTGTAGCCGCCATGCAGCGAGCTGCGCTCTTCGTAGAGGCGCTGAAGAACGTCTGCGACGCGCTCGCTCTTGCGCTCTTCTTCGATGCGCAGCGCAATCGGGATCGCGTTCCAGTACTCGTTCAGGCGCGCCTGCGTCGTCGCGTCAACCTTGAGCAAAATGTTCTTCGAGTCGATCGAGAAGCCATCGAGGAGCTTGAGCGCGCGGATGACGTCGAGGCCGCCGCTGAACGTGCAGTAGCCAAAGCCTTTGGGCTTGCCCGAGATCGGATCCGTCGTGCGCTTCCATGCCACGACCGTGCCCACGCGCTACGCCAGGCCAAGCATCAGACTCCGAGTGGTGGATGTATAGGCAGCCTACGTCCAGGAGGCCGCGGATGTAGTTGTCATGGAGGTCGGGCGGCAGCTTGCCGACGAAGACATTGAGCGGGCCCGTCTCCGGTGGCATTCTAAGCGCGACAGCTCCGATGTGCACGGCGCCAGGAGGAACCATACCCGACGTCGCCATGCTTCCACACAACCAAATCTGCCGGATACCCTGCCCACCCTCCGGATACGCGGCTGCGGATCTTGAAGAGACGCGTGCCAGACGATCGCCATCCGCAAAGCAGGAGATGGGCCAAGGTATGTCTTACGCATCGTTTACGCAAGTGACCATATCTACCTTACGCCGTCTTGTGCGTGTCGACGACGGTGGCCGGGGCTGGCGGTGCGGCGGCGGCGGCGCGCGGGCTCGTCGGGTGGTGTTCGTGGATCTCCTTCTTCGTCTCTTCGACGGTCTGGTTGGCAACCGACATGAGCGAGGAGAAGAAGCTGTTGATCTTCTGGACACCGTCCGAGACCGTCTTGTTCTCCATCGCCTTCTTGGCGAGCGCGTCCGCAGCCGAGACGGCCGTGGCCGCCGCCTCGGACGCCTTTTGCGACACTTGGTACTTCGTATCGAGCTCGTGCGCCTTCTTCCCGACTAGCACAAACACATACTACGGTCGCCGGCCTTTGCAAGCAGCGTACCGGTCGCGATCTTCTCCGAGACGTGGAACTGCGCATCGAGCTCCGCGGCCTTCATTTTCGCCACTTCGGCGCCGCTCTTGACCTGGAGCGAGATCTTGTGCTCCTCTACGCCCAAGATGCAGCCAGGCGCCAACACACAGAGGGAGGCTACCGTCAAAGCGCTGGACGTGCGTCAAGCCGGCCGCGCCGACCGAGTAGCCGCCAGCGAGGAACTTGGCGACACTGTTGACACCTACAACGTTCCATCGTTCGTATCTATGAGTTGAAGGAGAGTGAGGTCGTGTACCCGAGCTCGCCTTCTTCGAGGGCGACGACGGCGGCAGCGCGCCAGCTGAGATGACCGAGATGTGGCCGTTGAGCACCGCCGCCCCGTCGTGCTGGAGCGACGCGGCCGCCGCTTCCGGCGTCGCAAACACCAGCACCGCGTGCTGCAACGTCTCGCCATCGCTACAATCAACGTGTATAAGCGTTAGGAGCGTAGCAAGAGGCGTACGCTTGGAGGATCGTGCGCTTCACGGCGCCGCAGGACGCAAAGACGGCAACGAGCGCTTGCTCCGTCACGGACTACTCACCCGCGTTGGCCTCGGTACCAAGAAGGAGCTGCCGTACCTTCTCGGCCATCGGGATGTTGGTGACGACGATCGTGCTCGCGACCTCGTCCTCAGTGACGCTCGAGTCGTCGACAGGCTTCGGCCTAGATTTACCCATGCACGTGAGACTTGGGTCCACGAGGAACGACAGCGCTTCGTACGCCTTGAGGAAGACGGTCGCGCCGTTCGTGATGCCAAGCGCCGAGATGGCGCCGACGTGTTTGTTGACGGCCGTGCCCTCTACAGCGAGTGCATGAGCCATGTACATGGAGGAGGCGGTGGCGTCTACCAGGGAACTCGACGACGGGCTCGACCAAGTCGATGGTCGTGCGCACGCTGGCGGCCACCTGCAGCAGCTCCGCGATCGTCGAGTCGGCTTCGAGCTCGATCTCGACAGGCGCCTTGGCCTCCTCCTTAATGACGACCTTGATCATGTTGCTGTTCGGGTTGTTGTCGAAATGGGTTCTGGTCGCAGCCGGTCTAACCGCACGCAACTTTTCTTTGACCACCATCATTCTGCTACACTTGATCTTCGTATGGACTAGCTTCCGAGCCAACGGCAGCGCCACGTCAGCGACCAAGCGCGGCCACGTCGAGAAGAAGGTGCTGCGTCGCTGCAACTGAGCTGCTTGTTGACGCTACCACCGTTCGACGCACAAGGGACGACAGCTTGAGAGACCTGCGGCGGGTCGCTGCAGCGGCTTCCAGGCAACATCACCGCTCGAGTCACGAATCTTATGCCACAGACAAGCACATTATACGAACGCTACCCAAGATCCCAGACATATCTACGCTATCCAAGACATATCTACGCTATCCCAGACATATCTACGCTATGCAAGTACTCTTAGTCTGGTACATCTGGGTCCGATGGCTGGTTTTGAGCTGAGACCAAGGAGCGCTGCCAAATGCTGCCAGGAGGTCGCCAGCCATCGCCATCCGGACTGACGTGCTAAGTTCCGGATAAAGATCGAAGGTTCTGTAGATTTTGCCAAAGGGCACGGACAAACCTCGGGTGCGATGGCAACGTCCGTGGGGCCGCTGCCGCTTGCTGTGCTCTATGGCCGCTGCATGGACTTCCTCACGGTCAAGGAGCGCTGGCAGAGCGTCGCGCTCGTCTCGCACGCGTGGCGCGTCGTGGCCATGGCCTCGGTCAAGGCCCACAAGCACGTGGACTTCGTACGTTCGCCGTCGACGAGGATGGACCTTACTGGCATCTGTAGACCTGGTGCCGTGGTGAAGACCAGCTAGAGCACGCCGTATGCGCTTATATCAATGGCCACAGGCGGGCTCATTGCAGTGCACTAGGTTGCAACCCTATTGAGCGACGTGTCGCACAACGCGTTCGCAGCCGAGCTCCTCTCCGAGCACGTCAACCGCGTCCAGCTGCAAAGCGTCGTCTTGTACGGACCACGTGTGACGCCGCACCTCCTCTCGCGCCTCTTGCAGGGCGTGACGCCACACCAGCTCGAGCGCATAAGCATCGAGAGCAAGTGGCTCGATGCCGCCGGCTTCTCGATCCTCGCCCAGTGCCACAGCCTTTTGCAGCTCCGTCTCAACTGCATCAAGCTCTCGGATGCTGGTATGACGCGCCGTGTCTATGTTGGTACGCACAGTTGGTTGGTGTAGAGCTGGTGCTTATCGCGACCGGGTGCCCGAACCTGGAGCTCGTCGACATCGCTGGCTGCTCGCGCATTGGCGACGACGGCATTGCGGCACTCGCACGCCACTGCAGGAGCCTGCAAGAGCTCGACGTTTCCATGTGTATTCGCGTGACGGACGCCGGCTTTGTTGCCTTGGCGCACCGACCACCCACGCTGCGCCGCCTCGCCGCCAACAAGTGTCTCAAGGTCCCTTTGTTTCAACTTGATACATGTGTGAATTGGGACGTTAGATCACCGAGGCGTCGCTGGCCCTCGTCGTGCACGCACAGACGCAGCTGCAGTCGCTGTCGGTCGGCAACTGCCCCAAGGTCCGCGATCTCTTTCTCGCCACCCTTCGTACGCCCACACTATCAATCTTTCAAGTCCGTAATACGGGCCATGTGCGTAGGTCCCGAGACGCCGCTCACGTCGCTCGTGCTCAGCGGTTGCGCAAGCATTTCGGACGCGCCGCTCATACCGACGGCGCCGCGCGGCTGTTTGAGCAGCTTCTTCCAGTCGCACGGCGCGAGACTGCAGACACTGGACCTGACGGGTCTTGGACAACTCACGTCCGAGACCTTGCAGCGCATCTCGCTGTGTCCGACGCTCACGCACCTCACGTTGGCCATGTGCCGGAACGTCACGGACGCCGACGTCGCCGTCATTGCCGAAGGCTGCCCGCAGCTCCAAGGACTCTCGCTGCACGGCTGCGTGCTTGTGACTGACACTGCGCTCGTGTCGATCGCGACGCACTGCAAGCACCTGCGCGACGCATCGTTTGTGTTTTGCTACAACGTGACCGACGTCGGGTTTGTGGCGCTTGTGAAACGCTGCGTGTACCTCACGCACCTCAACGTCAAGGCCTGCAACCTCCTCACCGAGCTCTCGTTCGCTGCTCTCGCCCAGCGCGTCGGCGCCGCCTTCCGGAAGCTCGTCATTGGGGCGTGTGCGAGCTTGGCGACCACTGCTACGTACGCAGCGCTCGTCAAGCAAGGCCACCCAGACTGCATTGTCATGTGGACGTGAGATCCAGGTCGCGACCCTATACCTATATACTAGTATAGTACTTAATCTTATATACACATTCGTTCATGTAACGCCGTAGTAATCATTCAGATTTACAAAGTTGACACACGACCAAGTCGCCTGTCGTCCAACGGCTGGAGCCTAAATATATACACGACGCTCGAAATAACTCGAGCGACTCAGTTCCTAGCGCGACAGTGGGAAGTCCATGGACCTGCTGCCGACGCAGTCGAGCAAAACCGCGCTTGACACGCTCCATGAACACCACGTGGACGGCGAGCTCAAGGCGACGAGCATTCCGCCGATCGCGGTCCCGTTCTTAACCCACCACGACGGCCGCCACTCGTCCTTCTTCGAGACCAACAGTGTGCACAAGACGACCGATGCGTGCGGCCACAAGCAGCTCAACCAATAGTACGTTCGCTGCAACGACAGTGTAGCTCCATGGGCTGCGTAGTATTCTCTACGACGTGATCGGGAAAGGCGCGTACGGCAAGGTCCGGAAAGCTTTTTGGCCCGAGAAGAACCGCTATTTTGCCGTCAAAATCATCCACAAAAAGGTCGACACTACACTAGCTTCAACGTGGCAACACCTGCCACTAGAAAGCCAAAAAATTGATGCTGCGCGGCCCCCGCGCGCCGCGAAGCGACGGCCTCGACCACATTCGCAAGGAATCGGCGATTTGGAAAAAGCTCCACCACCCCAACATTGTGCGCCTGCGCGAAGTCATTGACGACCCAGGTACGCGATCACCCGGACGCAGTTCCAACCTACGTACTGCGTAGAGGCCGACAAGATTTACTTGGTCAGCGAACTCATCGAGGGCAAGTCCATCATTGACGGCGAAGCGTACCGTGCCAGCGTTGAGTCCAGAGCGAGTGATGGATGTGACTAGACGCTGCACGCCGCTGCACGAAGACGTTGCAAGAGATTGCTTTTGTCAGCTCGTACGCTCGGTGGTGACAGAACGCGTCGGTGCTCACGATCACTTCTTAGATTGAAGGCCTCGAGTTTCTCCATTTTCACAAAGTAGTCGCCACGATGACGTGGCAGCGTCACACGCGCGACATTAGATCATCCATCGGGATATCAAGCCTGGCAACCTCCTGTACAGCGCCGACGGTATAGTCAAGATCACCGACTTTGGCCAGTCCCAGGTATGAGTGCCTTACCTACTACACTGGATGGAAGTGGAAGTTTAGGTCATTGAAGACGAAGACGACTGCTTCCGCCAGACCGTCGGCACGGGCCCGTTCCTAGGTAGTACGACGCACGGGATGTCGCGTTCTATCTTATCTTTAGCCCCCGAGATGCTCACGGGGGACGAGTACAAGGGCCTCGTACGACTCGCTTTTTTCATTTGTGGGACGCAAACCGTTGCCTTGTAGCCGATCGATGTGTGGGCGTGCGGCGTCACGCTCTACCTCTTTGTCTATGGCCACTTGCCGTTCGAGGCCGAGACGCCGCAGCTTCTCTACGAGAAGATCAAGGTACGTCCGGTGGCATTGAAGGCAGCTCATTACTGTGCCAGAGCGACCCGATCACATTCGCGACGCTGGTCCAGGAGACACCCGTGAACCCAGACGTGATTGATCTGCTTCGAGGCGTAGGCACCTCACCATCATCGCTCGTGCTCACACGTGTTCAGATCTTGAACAAGGACCCGGCCGAGCGTCTGACGACCCAAGACATTCGGGTAGCGAGGCGTGGAGGCGACAAGAGGCGACTACGATGATGCGTAGAACCACCCGTGGCTAGCCTCGCGTTTCCAGACCCAGTACCCCAAGAGCGAGCGCCACTTGATCACACTCACACCCGCTTGCGTCGAGTCGGCCATCACCCCGCTGCAGCTCTACCGACGTCTCAAGCGCAAGACCAAATTGCTCATCGCTGCCAAGTACACCCTCGCTGTCTCTGTCATACGGTCTGATACGAAGTAGCAAACTCACGGGGTCGTCGCGGCAGTTGCCGATTCTACGACAGCCCTCGACGCAGCGCCATATCCAAGACGACGCTGTCCACCATGCGGTTCCGACCGTGCCACGCCGGCTCTCGGGCGCCTCCCTACCTAGCACGGCGCGAAGTATGTCAAGTCGACGGTCGCTTACGGCGCGCCGTCTCGACTTTGGGCAAGAGCTCGCCGAACTGCGCTTCGACACCCCGCGGGCCGAAGATCGACCCTAGTGTACTCAAATAGACAAGTCGCATCGCCTCGCGTTAGGAGTTGGTGCTGCTTTGCCGAAGACGCAGCTTGGTGGGCGACAGCTGCATGACCTTGCTGATCTTGTCCGTCTAAAAGGTAGCTACAGAGTAGTGCGCAGCTGTAAACGTACAATGGTTTCTCGCACGGGCGCCACAAAGGGCTCGTACGCAGGCCGTGGCGGCTCGCGGCTCAGAATCACCTCGGCGGCCTCCTACACGCTCCTTCAGATGTCATGGAGGACTATGTTTCGGACCTTGAGCCCGAGCTTCCCGCCAAGCGGCGTCAGCGGCATGTCGGCGGACGGTGAACTGTCAAAGTACTCGCAAATCTCGCACTTGCGCGTGGCACGGCAGAGGCGACACGGCAGCTTGCTCAATGGTTCACCCCGACCGTACCTTATGGCACAGGTGGGAAGGATGGCGAAGTATCGTGAAGAGTGTACAGGTGAAAGCACTTGACGTAAGCTTCGTACTGCCGCAGGATCGTGGCGTTGTCCGGATCGGCTTGGACCGCCTTGATGTAGTGGTCGTGCAACACGCTAGTTCACCGTCACTTTCATAACCCTGCCCCTGAGGAGCGCACGTCGATTTGGCGATTGGACGCATGACAACGAGTGTCACGTTCTTGGCGCAGTGCACGGACGACACTTGACCAACGTAGTTGAGCGCGTGATAGACGCCAAAGACCTCAACCTGCACAGGTGAAGACATGCGCGATCTCGAGGGGTCAAACCTCGGCCAAATGCATGTAGGTGCGACCGCGCACGTGAATACGAACATAACTAAGTCCATGTCGCTCTGTCGCAACGACAGAAACACAGTACCGGCCCACCGACTCGGACGTCGGAAGAATCCACTGCGTGAGGCGCTGGTTTTGCGTAAACTCCTTGGCTTCGTTCGAGAGGTCGCGACCGGCCTTGAGCCTGCGATGACTCAAACATCAAGTCTGTGCAATGCAGCGCGTACACTTCCTTGCCGCTGCCGTCGGGTAAGGGCACTTCGCTCACAAGGATCCAAAACGGAAAGAGCCGGCGTGTGTACTCGTCTCTCGGGTGTGAAATATCAATCGGCTCGTCCGTCCGATTCCAGACCTGCCATTTCAGATTCAGATTCAGATTCAGATCCAATTGCATCACGTACTTGAATGCGACTAATCACAGCAGGCTGGCCCAAGTCGACTTCCCACCACGGACAGTCGTCAAACTACGTACCATAAAGTGTGGTGCCCATAGGGTTGGGTCAGCCTACCTGGGTGTGCGTGCAGGCGTGGAGCCGGCCGCTGCGGTTGCCGTTCACGGCGCAGTTGGCATTCTGCTCGTTAAAAATACTGCTTTGGCGACAGCGCTTGTGCAAAGCAAGGTTGAAGGGCGCGACGTGAAACGCGCGAAGGAGCTCGGGCTCGGGGACGACCCGCCGCTACATATGCTACTGACTCTTCGATTCACGAGGCATGCCAACCTCTTTTGAATGCCCCGTGCATGCCTTGGCGTTCTGCCCCCACGTGTAAAGCTCGCCGTCCATCGAAACCGCAGCCGTGTGCCCAAACCCGCAAGCAACTTGGCGCATGGGCGTACCACAGATCGACTGGAGCAGCGACCACGACGGCGTGTAGTGCATGAGCGGCCCGGCACTGCCGCAGACGTAAATCTCGCCGCCTAGCACCGTGCAGTGACACCATGCGGAACAAGATCATGTACCCGAAATGGTTTCGATGCTGGCAGTGATCTCCGAGCAAATCTCCGTGCAAAATGCCGAGTGGGTGTTGCCGCACGACACCTACTTCACGACGTCACGCAAGTGAAGTGGCTAGAGCTTGCACCTGTGCGATGCGGACGTGGGCGAGCGCCTTGACGTACGTGGGCACGACGACTTGGTCCAAAACAAACTCGCCAAAGCCAAGGCGCCCACCGTTCGCACAGCCCCACATAAAGAGCTCGCCTTGTGTGCTCACTGCGCCCGTGTGTGCGCGGCCACACGACACTTGCCTACGAGGCCCTGTGTGAGCATGACCGATCCAAAGATCTCGCACCGGATGCGACGTTGGTTGGGGATCTTGACGAGCATCGGGTAGAGCGCAAACTGCTCGTACTTGTCGTCCAGTGCACCGATACCGAGCTTCCCGGTGGCCGCCGAGCCCCAGACGTACACGTGGCCGTCGACGCTGATGGCAGCGCTGTGGTCAAACGCGCACGCCACCTCTTTGACAAAGACCGACTAGCAGCAAATCCATTCGTAGGCGAGGACTTGCAGTGGCGCGTACTTGAAGTGCGAGAACGCGCGTCGGGTGGTCGGCGTCCGAGTTGACGACGCCCTCGAGGTTCTTTCCGTGGCCAAGGCGACCGTGAATGCCAACGCCCCACGTATAGAGCGCGCTAACCCGGTCGTCACGGTAGGCGCATGCGGAAAAGACGTACCCGGCGTGCGTCACGACACACGCGTACGACTCGCCGGCGGCCAAGCGCCACGCTGCCTATAATGACCCTATATCGACACACGCGGCTTGGTAGACGCACCGCCGCGCCGCGGTTGGCATGCAACGGAGGGCCCCTACTCACCGCGCAAGGTCTCGAAGGACAGAGTCGAGAAGCTACTTACCGCGACGTGACGCCGTTGAGATCGACCACGAGCGATGTGTGACGGGGCGTGTACTCTGGCACGACGTCTTCGAGTTGGATACGGTGGTGGGCTACCGAGTCTTCAAACGCTGCTTCCTGCGCTCGCCATTGAAGCAGCCATCATCAAAAGGACAGTCGAGGGTACCCGACGAAGGGCAAAGTCGAGGTTGGCGCGTTTCTCTTCTTCGATGCGCAGCTCGTGAAGGCGCGCCTGCTGCTCTCGGTACATGGCATACTAGCCAGCGTTGTTTTGAGAATCTGCGTAGGAATCTCGTACGTCTTCAAGCAGCTTGGCCTTGTCCAGAAGCTAGCATCATTTATTGTGAGATGCGGACAATGTGTTGAGGTCGTACAAGCTGCGCGGCTTGCTTGGGCTTGAGCTGGACTTGCTCGGCTTCCTACAAAGGTCTTTATGATGTCGAACGTCTTCGGTCGCAACGCACTTGAATATGGAAATCCGACTCCATAAACCCCCGGCGCTGCTCTTCACTGCACAGTTCGTTCTATGCAAAGTGGCATCACGCTGCATTGCCAACACGATCCTGCCTCAATGTCCAGGCAGTCGCTAAAGAGGTCGATCATCTCGAGCTTTGTGACACGATCAATCGCAAATCCTCGGTTCTACGACCATATTCGTCTTTGCTGCGCGAAGGCGACAGTACCGTCAGCGAGGCCTTGACTTCGGCGATGCTGACTTTGGGCAACAGCACTTGATGCAGAAAGAGAACCCGTGTTGATGCACTTGGCGGCGGCTCCCAATGCCCAAAGTAAACCACCACGCGCTTGTACCTAGACACGCTTGCACTTTGGAGTAGTGCATAAACGTACTTTTCATAGGCGTTGACCTCCTTGTCTTGGCGGTACTTAAGTTCGGCGGCGTTTTGGCGCTGGACTTCGACTTCGAGCGCGACAGCCGCCGCGACCTAGCATCCAGTGCTTGCACTAGCACCAACACGTAACTCGTACGTGTTTGGGGGAAGCCATTTTCTGCAGCTCGGACCGCGCCGTGAGTTGCCGGGCAGCGGCAATTTGCTTTTCGTGCTGCCGTTGCCGCGCCAGCTCGTCGTCAAAAGTATCGTCGTCGTCGTCGTCATCATGAGGGTTGCGAGTCTCGGCCGCGAGTCCCTTCCACCACTTGTTTTGGCCGCCTAGGAGACAATAGAAATGCGTCTAAAAGCGAGTTAAACGTACCCCAACAGTAGATTTGACCGGACGCCGTCATGGCGTACGCGATGCTGTCTGTGATCGTTGCCTAGCGCAGATGTGACCGTGCCCATACTGAATAACAACGTACATGGGTCACTTGGCGGCCCCAGAGCCAGCCCGTGTTGGGCATTGGGTGAATCGATTGGAAGCGCAGACTGCGCACGTACTGGCGGTCGTCGAGGAATTTTGTCAGAAGCTCGTCGTCCGTCTCGATCTCACTGACGCTCGACTCGTCCGGTGTCTCGAGCACCGTCTCTTTTGGCTTTGGCTGCCACAGCAACCGGTCCAACTTGGGCGGACTCGTGTCGACCCAGCCCGCGTTTTCGGGCCGCCGCCGCACAAATGGGATCTTCTCGGGACTCGGCACCGGCTTGCGCTCTGTTTTTGGTACGACAATCGTGTCGCCGGTTTGTACATTGGCGCTCGTCGGGTCGATGGTCTTGAGTTTTACGGCTGGTGGGACGTACGTCGGCTGGACGCGAGCTTCCCTACGACAGTGCTCTCCACGATGGACTGTGTGCAGTATATCCCGCACCAGATCGCACTGACGCTCTTGTAGCCGTCATAGAGCAGCGGGTCGCGTGTCGCGGGGGCGCCCGTAAACTGATCTAGAGTTGCTTTTTGAGAATTCCTCTCGAGTCATTTCGGTTTCTACCATATTGGCCCGTGCCGAGGACGTACACTTGTCCCGCCGCGTCGAGCGCCGCCGCCAGTTCGTCTTGCGCGCGCAACATTGCTTTGGCCGCGAGCGTCGACCGGCGGATCTTCTCGAGTTGCCAGTGGTGGTACCACTTGGCTTCCAAGAGCACTTGGGCCTCATTGTGCTCTTCTTCGAGCAGCACGACTTCGAGCATCGTCATGAGCTTGGCGCGCGTCGCGTACTTGGGTATGTCGATCTTGCGCGCGCGGAGCTCGGCCTCGACGTCAATGCACTGCAGCCACATGGCGCGGAACTCTTCAAACTAGATGCCGAATCGTACAAAACCCAGTGCTCAAGGAGGCAGGACGTACGTCAATGTAGCCGCTCTTGTCCTTGTCGTACTTTTTGAACAGCTTTTCCTGCTTGGCGTCGTCGGCGTTGATGTTGAAGTACTCGACGACGTCGGCGAACTCGAGCTCGTCGATCTGACCGCTGCCATTTTCGTCAAACAGCGAGAAGGCGTCTTTCGGTGACAAGAGCGACGATGGCGTGAACCTACATAACACGTTATAACCGTGGGTATACGTCCTACGGCGGAGGTATACTGGAGGGTATTCCCCGAGGTCGGGTCCACGGCGAAGAGTGCCATCTTGAACTCCTCCAAGTCGATCTCGCCACTGCCGTCCTTGTCGCACGCGCGGAAGATGCGCAGACCCTTGGGCTTGCTCACGCTGATGTTCAACTGCGGCAGCTACAACTAGCGTCGCTATTTGCGCTACGTTCATGGAGCTACCATGGCAAGGAACTCGTCGACCGAGATTAAACCCGAGTGATCTTCGTCGAATCTCTTGAAGAGCTCTTCGGGTGTCATCTATGCAAGGACGTGATGAGAGAAGGTCCATGCACGTGCAGCACCTTGGAGAGGAGCAGCGCCACGTTGCGCTTGTTGTACTCTTCCTGCGTCGCCTCGGACGCCTTGTCGATCTCCTTGCGGTCGTAGCGCTCGAGCGCAGCCTCGTCGTCGCTCTCGTCGCTGTCAGCACCAAACATGTCGAGGTTCGCAGCCTCCTTGGTCACTTCGCCCGGCGTCTTGGGCGTCGGCGGCTTCAGCGGCGTCGGTGGCTTCGCCGGCGCTTGCTCCGACGGCTTGATCGGCGAAGGCTTCCCGGTCGCCGCAGCCGTCGCCGACGCTTCGACCGCCACCTTGCGCGGGGAGATGGACCCACACCCGCGGAAGAACCCGATCATCGCCTCCTCGGTCACGGTTACACTGCATGCTAAAATTCGGCACATGCCGAATGCAGTGATATCCGGATTCAAATCCGGATACCGCCGACAGCCCAGAGATGCTGCTCCGCGTGCTGCTGCTGGCGATCGTCGGCGTCGCCGCAAGCGTCCACGTCCTTACTGATGCGAGCTTTGGCGCTACCGTTGAAGACTCGTCCGATGCGTGGCTCGTCGACTTTTACGCGGTGCGTCGTTCCAGCCTGCCACGTCAGAGGTATCATAGAGCGGTAGCCCTGGTGCCACTCGTGCCAGCTCCTCGATCCGGTCCTCGTCGACACCGCCGACGCCACGGACGGCCTCTTGCGCATCGGTGCGATCATCGCGCATGTGTGATGTTGGCGTCGCTCATGCCTCCTGCAGGCAAAGTCGATATCACCGTGAACCCGCGCCTTGAAGGCCAGTTTGCGATCGAGCGGTACCCGACGCTGCTCGTGCGCGACCCCAGCGGCGTGTGGAGCCCGTACAAGGGTGAACGCTCCGTGGACGCCTTCTTGGCGCTTGGCCGGCGCGTCTCGGGGACGCCCGTCAAGACGGTCGCGACGGCTGGCGACGTCGACGCGCTTCTGACCACCGAAGCGTCCGCGCTGGTTTTCGTCCACGTACTCGGCTCCACCACTGTCCTCACCGCCTTCTATCGTTGTAAACGACACGTGTAGGCATCGGACGCTGTCGGTGCCAAGCTGCAACCAGCGTACTACAGCGCCGCGACGGCCCTCCGCGGCCAACACGTACGTCGCTCCTCGCATCTCGGACGCCACTGCACCTTGCAACTAGCTCTTTCTCGAGCTGCGCGACCTTGCGTCACTTGCTGCCTCCCCCTATTTTGCCACGTATGCTGCCTTCGCCACCGATTTGTATCAAGTTTGTATCAACTGCATCGACGTAGACTGCCCTCGTCGGGGTCGTTTGTCGCGCGCGTCGACGCAACGGGTGACGTGGCGCTTTACGATGCCACGACGCTACCCTTGGACACGGTATTATGCACACTATTATCTTCTATTATGAACACTATTGTTCATCGTTGCAGCAACCTCACACGCGGATCCTAGTGGCTGCTCAAGCACGGTTATCCCAAGTTTGTGGCACTCGGGCGGGAGAACCTCATGGCGATCGGGAAGGCCCACGCTCTTCTCGTGGTCGCGTGCGTCAAGGACGCGACCGACACGACCTTTCTGCAGCTCGCATCGACGGTCGCGTCGCAAGCGACCGGAGACATTGCGTTTGGGTACCTCGAAGCGACCAAGTTTCGCGCCTACGTTCAGCGCTTCTACGTCACGACGTTCCCGACGTACTTTGTCTGGAACCTGCACGTACGTCTCTGCCGGTGGCATTGAGGCAGAGGAAGAGATGGTGTCTTTACTAGTCCAACGTGTTTTACGAAGCGCCGAGCGGGGCCATCACGCCCGAGAGCCTCCACGCGCACCTCGCCCGCATTGTATCGGGTGCGTGGTCATCGATGCCGACTGCGTGTCGATAGCTATTTATGCATAGGCGCGGAGAAGGGCATTGCGCTGGGCCTCACTGGGTACCCGTACCACGCGTACCGCTTTGTCGTGGACGCTGGCCTCGGCGTGGTAGCCGGTGTCACGCTCATTTTGCTCGCGGCAGCCGCAGCATGGCACCGCGCGCGTGCCAAAGAAGATGCGCATATGCGAGCGCAAGCCCTCGCTGCGTACGAGCGGCTCAAGAAGGATGCCTAGTCCTGGCCTCGATAGCCCTAATCGCGATATGAACCTACCCCTGGGCACTGCAGGGTTCATAGTTGGTCGTCCAGCACGACGACTTTGGAGGCTGAGCGACCTTCTGCGCCGTCGTAGATGGCAACAAGAGTTCTTGCGGTGTGCTTGAAAAAGTCGCTGGAGTCCACTTTGACGTTCGCGATGGCGCGAATCAAGGATCATATCCGGACAACCAATGATCGTCCAGTTGTCAGACAATCCCATCGCAGGAACCGGGCCTGGTCGATCTTGGCCAAAAATGGCGTCGCATCCGTGATCGTCATGCTAAAGCTCGAGGCCGCGACCGTGATAGCCGACGCGAGGTGCGAGATCGAGCCCTTCCCGATGCGCTTGCGGTAGTTGCGGTTCTGGGAGCTGAGCCACACCTCGCAATCGCGAGAAAGCTAAACGCGATCGACGGTGAGTTGCCGTCAGGCGGCAGTATTGGTCGGTACACGATTCGCTTTGGAGCACTGCTCGGACAGGGCTCACATTGAAAGGTCTCGTTGGCTCTTGCGATTGACGGTCGAAACCGCTTTTGGCGCCAAGGTCATATCCGGACGACCAACGATTATCCAGTTGTCGGCAGTAAAGTGGCAAAGCCCACCAGAGCAACCAGAGCATTCATTCGCCCTCAAGCCATCAACCGATGTCAATTGATCCCTCTTACGTTCTGAGTCAGTCGCATATGCGTCGTCTTGGCCGCTCGCTGGGGAATGTATCTCAGTTGCGAACGAACGACGTGCACAGTATATCGTATCGCTGTCCTTTTTTCCATAAATAGTGTGAGGACGTTGGCATGTGTTTTATTGCTCTTGGCTGGTGATGGCGGGACCGGACGACGCCAAAGCGACTGCCAGCGACGCGCCGGCGCCCTGGCCAGTTGTCGTGGAAGCGCTCCAAGCGTTTCGCGACCTGCATGATCATGTCAACGTACCCGTCGACTTTGACGTCCCGATGACAGCGCCATGGCCGGCCGCCACCCAAGGCCTCCAGCTTGGGCGGCGCGTGGCCTCACTTCGCACGCAGTCGGCGATTGATCCGGCGCACAAGGCGACGCTGGATGCCCTCGGATTCAAGTGGACGACGCCGCGAGTCCAGCAATGCCAAGAGTCGAGCTGGGCGCATCGCCTCGAGGCGCTGTGCTTGTACCGAGAAGAGCACGGCGACCTCGCGGTGCCGACGACGTACGTTGTGCCTGACTCGTATCCGCGGCACCTGCAGCGCTTCCCGCTCGGCCGCGCTGTCAACACGCTGCGCTGCCAGAGCTACGTCTACACGCCCAAAGTCGTCCAGCAACGAAGCGACCTCGACGCGCTAGGGTTTCTTTGGCGTCTGCGCTGCGACACGACATTTTGCGTCGTGCACCGTCCAGGCAAGCGCGCGCCCATGTCACAGCTCGTCGCGTGGTCGGAGCAGATCGAGGCGCTTCTCGTCTTTCAGCGTCTGCACGGCCACGTCAATGTGCCCGACGGGTTCATCGTACCGCCCGAAGCGGACGTGTGGCCGCTTCCGATGCACTACGTCGCCCTCGATCTCGCGCTCGCGTCGCTGCGCGCGCATGTCTACGAGCTACCTGAGGCCGACGCCGACCGGCTCCGAGAAGCTGGTTTCTTTGCCGATCTGCCCGACTTTTGCTCGTTTATTGAGCTGCTCGCCATCTACCGCGCCGAGTTTGGCTCTTGCGCCGTGCGCATCGACTTTGTCGTGCCTCGGATGGGCGGTCCCTGGATCAACGCCTGGCGCGGCTTGGCCCTCGGCGATCTTGCGTGGTCGGTCGGCTTGAAGGCTCGGGCGCTCAAGGCTGCACAGCGCGACGACCTTAAACGCGCTGGCTTTGTCTTCAACGTCGACGCGACGTGGGCAAATATCTTGGTTGGCCTCGAGCACTATGGAGCCAAAGCGGTCACGCCGAGCTTTGTGGCGCCGCCAACGTGGCCGGGCGACCTGGCCGGACTGCGCCTTGGACACTTCGTCGAGCGCATGCACACGGCCAAGCGACTGCGTTTGCTGCCACCGGCCACAGCAGCTACGTTTGCAACGCTCACGCAAACGCTGCGTGCCCCTCAGCTGTTGTGGGAGCCTCCGCATGATGCGACCACTCGGCTTCAGGTACTCAAGCAACTTCGAGACATTGTGCGGGTCGTCCGCGACGTCCATACTGTCTTGCCATACGACTTTGTCGTGCCGTCGAGTGGCTCTGCGTGGCCACCCGACAGCCACGGCGTTCCGCTCGGTGTGCGTCTGCGCTGGTTTTGGCAGCACAAAGAGCTTTCGTTGCCCGTGTGCGACGAGCTCCGCGCGCTTGGTGTCACCGTGAACGACGCGCCACGACGTGTCGCTCCCAAGGCGTCCGCCCCGACGGCGCGCGCCTGGACGCTGCAAGACAAGGTGCGCGCGCTTGCGTTCTATCGGCATTTGCACGGGACGGCCAATATGCCGTTGCGCTTCACGGTGCCAACGGCCTCGCCGTGGCCGACGCCGCTGCGAGGCCTCAAACTGGCCGCGTTTTTGCAGTCGCTGCACTACCACGACCGCGCCCTCGACAAAAAGTTTGAAGCGCAGCTCCAGCAACTCGGCTTTTCGTCTGCGGAGGCCACGTCGCGCTGCGTGAAACGCGCAACGCGCGGTGGCCTCGTTGTCGGGACCGTCTCGATTGCTACGCAGGTCGCAGCGCTTCACGCGTACCAACAGCTCGTCCGCCACGTAGGCACGATGCCCGACGACTTTGCGGTGCCAGCGGACGACGCCGCTTGGCCACCGGGCAGCAGCGACATTGTGCTCTCGCGTGTCATTCTGGCGTTGCGGAATCACTGGTTTGAGCTCCGACCAAACGAAGATGCGTGCGTCCGAGCGTTGGGTCTCTTTGCTGACGTTCCGCCCTTTGACGACTTTGTGCAACTCGTCTCCCGGCTCACTTCGGATGGCAAGACGACCGTACCGCTGGACTTTGTGGTGCCGTCAAAGTGGTCGACGCCATGGAGTGGCGCCCCGCTGGGCGAGCTCGCGTGGTCTCTCGGCGTGCTCATAAAGCATCTCGACTACGCCAAGACGCAGCAGCTGGCGACGATCGGCTTTGACTTCAACACGCCTGCGACGTGGGCGCACATTCTCGACGGACTGCGCACATACCACTCGCTCTACGGCTTGACGGACGTGCCAGAGGCATTTGTTGTACCTTGTATTGCCAGTTGGCCGGAAGACATGCACGGCATGCGCCTCGGCCATTGGGTCCAGTATCTGCACTCGGCAAGAGAGCTCTACTTGCTGCCGCCCGACACCATCGCTGCCGTCGACGCCATCGCTACCGGAGCAGAAGCACCAGACACCGTACCAAGCGGCGACAACTCGGCACCACCAGCGACCGTTCCGGCTGCAACGACCATCACCGACGATGCGGTGTCTACCGAGGCCGGTGCACAGCCAGAAGCCGATCAGCCGTCACCCGTAGCCGTGCAACCGTCGGGCGGCGCGCAACCGGCAGCGCCAGCAAGTCTTGCGCTTGATACTAGCCCGAACGAGCAATCGGACCACCTCGTTGCGCTGGATCTGTGGCTCCGGGCGACGCCAAGCCCGAGCGAATCAGCTCGCCTCGGCACGATATCGCGGGCGTGTCCCGTCGTGCTGCGATCTGTGTCAGTGGGCGCATTTTTGCTCGAGCTCGAGGTTGGACGGGCGTTTGAGCATCTGCAGTCCACCCTTGACGATCGGCGATTCGACCGCCGAGCTCGGTGGGCGATCAAGTTCCAGGCGCTCACTATGTTCAAGGCGCTCAACGGCCATCTCCGAGTACCTCGTGCATTCACAATCAGCTCTGACGTCGTCTGGCCCGCGTCGTTGAACGGCCTGCGACTCGGCGACGTCGCGTTTTGGTTGCGCCGCCTCACAGCAGCCGATGTCGTATCGACGGTCGCGACCCAGCTCGGTGCTATTGGCTTTGAGTGGGACGCCTTGCCGGCCAGTGCCTCGCAGTCGAAGCACCGGGCGTCCACTGTCGCACCCATCGTTCTGTCAAGTTTGCCAGCGCCCAACGCGAGGCCGTCTGTCCGCGGCGCTCCCCGTGCCAAGGCCAAAGCCGTTGCCAAGGACCTTGACCGTATCCACGCCATTCGCAGTGAACCGATCCGTGCTACCGCTCGAGTCATCAACATCTGCAGTCCCAGCGACGAGGACCCGGGCACGAAGCGCGACAACAGTGACCGAGATGCCATCGGCACGGGGCCGGTGCAGCCCCTCCCCGTTGGTGTCCGCCGCCGCCAAGACGACCCGGAACCGGTGGCGTCGGTTCGGCGCCGGCTCGCACACGGCTGGGTAGTGCCTCCCCGCGGCCCCATGGCCCCGTTGCCGATGCCGGTACCTCTTCGCAGCCCGTACGCCCCGATGGCGGCACCTCCACATGGCCCGTACGCCCCGATGGCGGCACCGCGCCCGCTCGATGCATTCCCGTGGCGCGTTTGTCTCGACGAACTTCGTCGGTACTTTATCGAACACGAGCACTCGAACGTCCCGCTCGAGTACGTATCCGAGAGCGTCCCGCTCGGACGGCTCGTGCGCGAGCTGCGGCAAGGCGGTGCTATCCTCACGCCCCCACATCTGCAAGAGCTCCAAGCGCTCAAGTTTGATTGGTCAATTTCCGAGTAATCGATGATATATCAAGTTGATAGTTTAGAAGCAGGTCCAACATCCAACTCGCACGACAGGCGCCTTGGCCTGGAGCTGGGATCAGCGAAGACCACCATGGTTTCCATCGCAGTAGCAACCACCATCCTGCATCACAGCATTCGCCACCAAACGATCAAGCAAGGACAACAGCACATTGATACATTGATATGTCCTTGGTTCAGTAGTCGGCAGTGTATCTTGACCGCCTACGCAAACAGCCGCGACGGTTTGTGTACGGACGACGGCAGCGCCGACTGGGGTCGAACGCCCGACGTCTTGCGCGTGGCGTCCGTGTGCATGACAACCCGGGGCACGCGCTTGGGCTTGCTTGTCTTGGGGCGAATGAGCGACCGCACTACCGGCGACGGTTGCGCAGCGACGGGCTGCGGTCCAATGTGAATGCCGCAAGGAATGTACACGCGGCACGTCGCGTCGGTCGCTGGCTCGACGACGATTGGTGTGTCGGGACCGTGGCCCGTCGTGTCGTGGTTGCTGTTGTTGTCTTCGCCCTTGACGCCGAACGGCGGCGGTCTTTGCACCTGCGCCAGCTTTTTCGGTCGGCGCTTCAATTCGTGGTTCTCCCGCGTTAAGCGGTGGACGTCCTCGAGGAGCTTTTGGTTGTCTTGGGAGAAGAGCGTCGTGAGCTTGTGTTTCTCGCTCACGACCGTCGCGACGCGCGACCGGAGCTTGCGCCGGTGGTCCTCGACGCACTTGTTTTGGCGCGTGAGTTCGTGGATGATGGCTTCGTCCGTGCCGCGCTCGCGCGTCACATGCTGCGCCGACGGCTCGTACTTGTGGTATAGTTTAACAATCGCATCGATCTTGAGCCGCTTCCCGCGCTGCTCGTCTTCGATGAGGATCCCGAGGTCCCGACGGAACGCCAGCACCGTCGCGCTGGCGTCGGCCAAACCAGCCTTGTGCACCGTGAGCGTTTGCTCGTAGAAACGCAGTTTGCGGAGCAAAAGATGCTGTTTCTCGTCCAGTGCATTGGCGTCGCGGATCACGTTGCTGTTTTCGTGGTGGAGCTCGTCTACGAACGACGTCATCGCGTCATTTGCCGCGTCTTTGGCCGCGAGCGAATCCTGGATCGTCTTGAGCTTGCACAAGCGGATGTTGTTGAGTCGCTCAAGGCCGTCCAGGGACCGCGTCTACTTCGTCTTTTCACTCGATACATTGATACAAAGACGCGTACGAGGTCGGTGACTTGGGTCTCGAGAAGCGTGCACTCGGCCGTCGCTTTCGCCGCGCGCTTGCGCTCCGCCGCCAACTCGGTCTGCAGCGCTGCCACGTGTGCGGCCAAGTCGATTTTTTCCCGGGTTAGTTTCTCAACGTCGGCCGATTTGGTGTCGAGTGCGTTGAGCATCATCCGCAGTTGCTGCTGGAGGTTCGACGTGGAATCTTTGGCCGCAATCGACGCCGCCGCGCCATTGGCTACATATCACATGTATGTCCACCAATCACGTGGCGTGGCCGTACCTCGCTCGGCCTCGATCTTGGCCTGGAGCGAGGTCAGGTGGAGTAGGTGGTCGTCGTCCTGTTGCGAGAGCACTTCGTCGTACGCTTTCGTCTTGAGCGCCAAGGCGTCGTTGAGCCGGCAAATCTCGGCGCGGAGACCGTTGCACTCGGCCTTGTGGCTCGCTTCCAGCGCCTTGCGCAGCTGCATCGCGCGCTCGTCACCGGCAAACGTCGCGTCGTCGATGCTCTGCCGCGCCTTGATGAGGTCGAGCTCGAGCTGCGCGCACACGTCATGGAGCGTTTCGATTTGCGTGCTGAGAATGGTTTGCATGGCGCTGGCGTCGCGGGCGTGGGTGGCCTTGAGCGTCGCTGTGAGCGCCTCGGCCTCTTTCTTTTCGTACGCGAGCGCGTCTTGGGCAGCGTAGACCTGGGCTTCGAGCGACGTGCGCACGGCGCGGATTTCAGCGTGCCGCTCGCGCTCCAGGAGAGTGCGCTGCTCCGAGTTGAGTTTGTTGACGATCTCCTTTTCGATTTTGAGCTGGTCCATCTCGGTCTCGAGGTCGGCGATGTGCAAGACCCGCTCCGTGACGCTGCTGCGCTCCACCAAACAGAGGTCGTCCGTGGGCACGACGGTCACAAAGGCATTGGTCGAGTGCAGAGTCGGCGTTTCGAGCGCCAGCGACGACGAAGATGTCGGCGGCGGCAGCTCGGGCGGCACGCTCAAAGCCACTGTGATCGCCGTCTCCAAGACGACGCCGTCGTCACTCGCAGCGAGGAGGTGGCCCTCGATGCTGCACGAGCGGAGCGACACCAGCGGCGCCGTCGTCAAGTCGATCGTGAGCGGCTGGGCGCAGAGTCGCGGGCCCGCTGAGCCCTCTTCCCTACGACATCCCGCAGGGTGCAACGACCGATGAACACGTGTCGACGTACCACCAGTAGACGTGCAGCGTGCCAGACGCCAGGCCAACGCAGAGCGCGGTACTGCAGAACTCGAGGGCCGTGATCTTTGCATCGAGCTCCGGTGTCCGGTCGGGCGCGGCGGTCAAGTCGACGGTGGGCCAAACATGGATCGCAGCCACGCCCGTGCCGCTGAGGAAGGCGGCCGCCAGCACCCGGTGTCCTGTGCTGCAGTGTCATCGACAAGCAAAGGAGATTGGAAGTGCCATTCATACCTGCGCGGCGGGTCGTTGCGATAGCCGTGTAGGCTCGTGTCCGCTCGTCGTCACGGAACACGGCCGGTGTCGCCGCAAACCCAGCATCGGTGAACGCCCACTCACAAAAGTAGCCGCGCTCATCGCCCGCGTACAGACGCGTCTCGTCGGTGCCCCAAGCAAGCGCCGAGAGGGGCACGTCCTTGCCTACTCGTCGAGTCCGTGAGCACCGCAGAAAAGGAGGTAAGTAGGTACCCCTGCACACCGAGTGCAGCACCGGCTCGGAGCCAGCGTAGTTGCTGTAGACGTAGATGCTCCAGTCTTCGACGAGCGCACAAAAGAAGCTGCCGCCGCGACTGTAGGCGACCGAGGTGGCGTGGCGAACTTCAACTTCAAACGCGATCTTGAACGTGTCAATGAGCACATGGTACACGTGTAGCTGGACGCTAAAACGGTGTTTTGAGAAGCAAGTCAACAAGTGCGCGCACCTAAAGCTCACGAGCACTTCAAAACCGGACGGGTGCACGGCAATGTCGTTGGGCGCGAGGTGTGGAAATGTGTACTGCAACAGCCCCGGCGTGCCGTCTTGACTGTACAGCGCAATGGCGTGGCCACCCGACGCCGCCCGCCCGAGCGTCGCAAAGACGCGTCGGCGACACGCTGTCGTCATGGCCGAGAGGTCCACGGGGCGGGGCAGCGCTGCATATGTCACAAGCGCAATTGACTAGCCCATCTTTCAGTCTCTCGTGCATTTGAGCGTCAGCGCACCTCGTCGTCGCCGCGAAGGAGGCAGAGGTTCGCGAGCTCGTACGCGCCATAGAGACTTGGTGTGACTAGCATCAACGCCGCGCCCGTCGTATCGACACCGACGGCAAGGATCGGCTCACTACGCTCAAGTTTACGAAAAGATCTATAGTGTCTGGATGCAGTAGCGACCGAGATTCGAGCTGCATGCGCCGAGAGAGGCTCAGTTCGGCGATCGCACCGCTCGTTTCGACGTCGCCGACGTCGAGGAGCGAGACGTAGCCGTTGTTGCCGGCAATCACGACACTAGTCATCCCTGCGATAGCACAACAGGACAATCGCCATAGAGTCCACCTGTTTTTGAATGTTTGGAGCGACGAGAGGTAATGACCGTGGTGCAACGACGGCAGTGTCCGGACGAGCTCGCCGTTGTAGATGTGCTGGACGTCGCCGTTTTCGAGCAGCGCAACGAGCCCGTCGCTCTTGGGGATCCACGCGTGCTCGACGTACTTGACGGGGGCTGTGAACGTGGCAAACTGGCGGCACGTGGGCTCTGCCAGCTTCCAGAGCCGGAGGTGCATGCCGCCGGACGTCGACATTTGTGCAAAGTCAATCGGGTTGAAGTGCACGCGCGTCACCTACCAAGTGTGCATGATGCGACGACGTCACGGCCACGAGAACTCACGCGCGTGTGGACCTCGGCGACTGCGATTTTGCGTGCGCGCGTCCAGTCCCAGAGCACAAAGCTCCAGTTGGCGGTCGAGCTCTGCCCCAGCAAAAACTTGCCGTTCGCTGAGAACGCGAGCGACACGAAGCTGTGCGTCTGGTACGTAATCACACGCACCGGCGTCCGCACGGCGTCGTCCATCTCGATAGTCTACGTGCGCGCACCTGAGGTGCGTACAACAATGCAGTGTACGTACCGACGCAGCCTTGTGGTCGCGGAGGCTATAGATCGCGATCGTGCTCGTGGAGCGCGCGAGCACCGAGTGCGGGCCGCGCGCGACGGCCAAGTAGTTGCGCTTGCTCGTGAGCCCGAGCGCTGTGACGTCGCCTGCGACGACGCTCTCGGTCGCCTCGCCCGGCGGCTCGAAGAAGGCCATGCGCTGGTTATGGACGTTCTGTACGACGACGTGCTTGCCGAGGCTGAAGACGACCTCGTTCTTGTTGAGGTAGTAAAAGAGGTCCCGAAGATGGGTGTTGAGACCCACGCCGGATAGCGGCTTGATGCGCGGTGTGTGGGGCGCCGGCGATCGCAGCGGCCGAGGTGCGTGCGCACTCGTCGCCCGCGAGATGCACTGCACCGTGTTGGTGAGCAGCGTCGCCTCGTCGGCGTCCATGGCGGTCTTGCGCAGAAAGGGCAGTTGCCGCCAAAAAGAAGTAATTAACGAAACGGTTCTAACTTTAATAGCGATCGACAATAAAGTCATGGAAATACTCTCTATGTCTGCGCTGCCTGTGCATGCAAATACTCTGTCTACTCGTAACCTAGTACTTTCGATACACTGGATGTGCACGCAGACAGTGTTATTTTCTCAAGCTGGCACATTCGACGAGCCCAGTACTCGAATACGCTGTACCGAAGGCACTGCATGGTTTTGTAGGTTCGGGTATCGTCCATAAACGTCGTATTGCGTCGTTGATGGCAAGGGCAACCATCTTGGTGATTGCGCATTGCATGTGACGTCAACCTCCACTTCATCTCATCGAGCAGGAGCTTGCGCATGCATGGGAGGCTCCAACCGTTCTACTTCGAGCGAAGAAGCATACTCGCAGGACGATGGTACAAGGCTTGATGTGCTCACAACGCATTGCTGATTGCCAGGAGCCATCGAGCGAGCCAACGTGCAGCGATAGAGCCCAGTTTCGGCTATTTTTTTCAATGAAATTCCGTTGGAACTCGGCGCCTTCTCCATGCACACTGCGTGCTGGGGAGAGCTGCGTGCTGGAGAGAGCACGTCATTTGCATGGCCCTCTGCCGACAGCGGCAGGAGCGAGAGAATTTTCCTGCGCGCGCGCCAAGTGGCGTCAAACCTCGGACACATACACTAGATCACGATCGTTCCCGCTTGCGCAATCAGAAATTGACGCTCTATTTGTATTGCACTTCAACATGACACTATTTCACGCAAAACGCAATGCGCAATCACGTGCAAGATCGGCGTGGATCGCAGCATTTCCAAATTTGCCACCGCCAGAGATGAGCATGGCCGGAATGGACCGCCGCCCGATGACGCTGCCCGAGAAGATTCTGACGCACTCGGCCGTCGGCCTCAAGAAGCCCTACATCGAGCCCGGCCAGATGATCTGCGTCAAGGCGCAATGGACCTTGGCCTGCGAGATCACGTGGAAGTCGATGGACAAGACGTACCAGGACATGGGCCGGCCGCGCATCTGGCGCAACGACCGCTTCTGGCTCGCGATCGACCACACGGTGGACCCGCGCGTGAACCATCTCCCGAAGCAGCAGATGATGATCAAGGCGTCGACCGACTTTGCGAAGGAGGCCAACCTCACCAACTTTCAGCCGCCCAACACGACAATCCTCCACACCGAGTTTTACCGCCAGCGCGCGCAGCCGGGCCAAGTCGTCGTTGGCGCCGACAGCCACAGCTGCTCGACGGGCGGCCTCGGCGCATTCGCGATCGGGCTCGGCGCCGCCGACGTCGTCATGCCCCTCGTAACGGGCGAAACGTGGATTCAAGTGCCCGAGACGGTCAAGATTGAGTTTGTGAACGCGCCGTCCTTTGGCCTCGGCGGGAAGGACGTGATGCTCTACACGCTCGGCCAGCTCAAGTGCAACACGGTCGCGATCGGGCGCTGCGTCGAGTGGACCGGCAACATTGCGCCGCTTTCCTGTGACGCGCGCTTTGCGATCGCCAACATGACGGCCGAGTTTGGCGGCATCGCCGGCGTCTTCCCCGCCGACGAGCGCACGCAAGCCTACATTGCCACGCGCGAGTCGCACAACAACGACGCGCTCTACTTCCGCGCCGACCCGGACGCCAAGTACGCCGAGGTGTTCCAGATCGACCTCGCGCACCTCACACCGCAGGTTGCGCTCTTCCCGTCGCCCGACAACGTGCAGCCGGTCGCGGATGTCGCGGGCACACCGCTCCACGGTTGCTTCATTGGCGCGTGCACGACGGCCGAAGAGGACCTCATCCTCGGTGCCCTCGTCCTCGAGCAGTGCCTCAACGCGGGTCTCGTGCCGGCAAGCCACGGGCATCGCCGTGTGACGCCCGGCAGCCAAATTATCGTCGACCACCTCCGTGCGTGTGGCCTCCTCGAGATCTACGAGCGCGCGGGCTTCACTGTCGGCGCGCCCGGGTGCTCGTTCTGCCTTGCGATCGCGGCCGACGTGGCCAAGGAGGGCGAGGTGTGGCTCAGCTCCCAGAACCGCAACTACCGCAACCGCATGGGGAAGGGCTCGATCGCGCACCTCGCGTCGGCTATCACGGTCGCGGCCTCGAGCTTCAGCATGACGATCACGGATGCGACGCCATTCTTGGCCAAGATCGACCAGGCCCGGTTCCACTCGTACTTGCCCAAGTCGACGCCGTTGCCGCCGATCGTGCCCGCCGAGCCGTCGCCGGAGCTCCCGACGTCAGTGGCCGCCGAGGCATCCAGCGACGGCGCGGTCGACCTCTCGGGACTCCCGACGGTCCTTACCGGCCGCGCGCAGGTGTTTGGCGACAACATTGACACGGACGCGATTCTGCCGGGCGAGTACCTCTGCGAGAACGACATGGACGCGCTCGGCAAGGTCGCGTTCCTGCATACGAACCCAGACTTCCGCGAGAAGGTCAAGCAAGGCCAGACGATCGTGGTCGCTGGCCACGGCTTTGGCTGCGGGTCGTCGCGCGAGCAGGCAGTGACGGCGCTCAAGGGCGCGGGCGTCGACGCGGTCATTGCCAAGTCGTTTGGGTACATTTTCTCCCGGAACGTGCAGAACTTTGCGCTCGTGGGCATCCAAGTGACGGACGAAGCCTTCTACGCGGCCGTGCAACCCGAGACGCCGATCCGCATCGAGATGAAGGGCCGCACGATCCACGTCGGCGACCAAGTGTTCCGCTTCAACATGTCGCTGTTTGAAGAGCGCCTCTTGGCCGGCGGTGGCATCATGCCCCTCTACCGCAAGTTTGGCAACCGCCTCTTCCGCGTCGCCGTCGACTCGTCCGACGACGACAGTGCAAGCGCCTGCGCGACGTCGGCCACGTCCGAGTGCGGGTCGGCCTCCAAAGCCGTCGACGTGGCGTGGTAGAAAAGTATCAACTTTGTATCAACCAGCTATCAACCTTGTACCAATAATAAATGCTTGAATGGACTTGTCAGTCGTGGAGTCGGGTGCAGGTATTGCAGTCGAGGCCGTCCTGCAACACCAACACCAATGAACAATATTCCCGTGTTCACACGAGTAAGAACCACAAGATACGAAAACGGTTAGGGGTACCGCGCTGAGCTCGTCCCGGTCGCGATCTCGGCGGTCACGCGCTCCCAGTCGTCGTTGAGGTGCGTCGAGAGAGCTCCGCCGAGAAGGTCGGAATTTCGAGCAACAACGCCGTCAGAGCCGGATCCAATTCTCCACGGCCAGGCGGGATCTCGCAGTGAAATGTCAAATTTCGCGTTTGCAAAAACAGTCGAGCCACTCGTCACTTTCCACAAACCGGCTCAAATTCCCCAAGTCGAAAAGTAAGAAGAAATCTTGGTAGCAAAAGCAGTCTATTGTCGTGATGAAGATTGGCAGCGTTACCAAGCGCATGGACCAAGGCATGAAAATGACATCAACGTACTCCTCATGGGTGACCCCAGTGTGGCCAAGAGGCAGCTCCTCCAGCACGTTGCGACCGTGAGCCCGAGACATCCACACGACGGGCAAGGGCAGTTGTGGCGTCGGTCTCCCGGCACAAGGAGATGACGCTCGAAGGCGGCGCGCTTGTGCTGGCCGACATGGGCATTTGCACCATCGACGAGTTTGACGAGATCAACCCCTTCCCCAAGAAAACCCGAGGTTTGGGGCAGGGTACGTTGAACTTCAATGCAC